TTACCTTGAAGACAAATCCAGAGGTCAAATTTTGAAAAAATACTTTGTATCTTGTAAATGGTGGTAACCCAAAAAATTAGAATTTTTTAAATTAGTAAATTTTAAAAACTTTTTAAAATTAAAATTATATCTTATTATATAGGTGTTCAGTAAGTAAGGACACAGATTTCTATCGTTCAAATTGTTTAACATAATTGACTTGTATAATTGAACAAGGAAAAAGACCATTTTCTAGAAAAATTACTTAGCGTGCTTCAATTTTCAAATTTTTTTTTTTAACGAATGTATTTGGTCACAAGACTCCGGGGAAACTATTGGCGAAGGTCAGAAAGTTTTTGCTGCTTGCTCGCTCACATTTTAAAGTTTTGAACGTTTTCGAGAAAAACGCTTGCTGACGCCAGCGTATTACGACTTAGGTTTAAAATTTTTATCAGACCCGCCCAATGACATTTCTGAGATATCTTGAAAAATTGAATTGAATCAATTTAGTTTTTACCAAATTACATACTATAAAAGAGTATACGTATACCTTTCACAAAGAATATAAAGCAAGAATAAATAAAAATTTAAATATTTAGTATAGAATAAATATATGTGTATATTAAAATCATTAAGCGATTCACCTATATGCGATTACACGTTCGGAGCGAAGATCTGCTTCTTAATTAGTAATGGCTGATGACAACAGTTTTATTTTGTCCAAAGCAAATCGTTATTATATACAATATAATAATATGCAATTATGAAAAAACTCTCAATTGTTAAATATTATTTTAATTTATTCCTTATACCTTATAAGGGGGTCAACATTATTTATTTAACTGACAGTATACACATTTAACTAGCTTATAAAGTAATAAATAATCTATTTAAGAAAATAATTAGTTGATAACAACTTTTGACCCACTATTTTGGAATTTATAACTATTTTAAAATATAGAGTGAAAGTGAACTGTTGGTCATTTTATTTTTATCATTATTCATTACTCTGTCGCGCTTTTCCATCATCTATATTTGAAAATGTTAATAACTTCTGAAGTATTATTTCAAAAGTTATTATCAACCAGTCCTTTACTTAATTAGATCATTTTTTATTTTATAAGGTGGTTAAACATGTATGTTGCCATGCTATCAGGGTATTATTAACGAAATAGGAGTTGATGTTGCTTTTGGAATAATTCAACAATTCCTTCTAAAATTTAAACAGATTTACAACGAAATGTTATTTATTATAGTGATATTAAAAATTGTCAGATATCATCTATATTTGTGCAAACTATGCCACGTATCCACTGTCTCAACTTCATTGTGCTGAATATTTTTTAAATTTATTTTTGTTTGAAAAAACTTATAATTATTAACTGGTGATGCTCCAATAAACAATTTTTTCCAAGTAAATAATTATTTTTTTACACTAATGGATTGAATTAAAATTGATTTACCAACTGGTATAAAAATTTTATTGTATAATAAATGTTAATTTGACTATTTATTGTAATATTCTGAAATTAAAATTAAATAATATAATAAATTTAAAATACACTTATGGTGATTTTCCAAAAATTTGGGTTAGGTATGTAGATGATATTTTTGCAGTTATAAATAAAGATTTTAATATGGGGGTTTTCATACAACATTTAAATTCTTTTTACCCATCGATTAAATTTACATATGAACAAGAAATAGAGGGAAAATTGCNGACCCATTGATTAAATTTACATATGAACAAGAAATAGAGGGAAAATTGCCTTTTTTGGATTTATTAGTTAAAAGAACAGAGGAGGAACTAAATTTTGAAATTTATCGGAAAAACACACACACGTTCAGATACATTCCGAACACATCGAACCACACCTGGCAACACAAATTGTCAGCTTTTAATAGTATGGTTTACAGATTAATTAATATTCCGATGAATAAAATAGATTATGATAAAGAATTGGTGGTTATAAAAGAAATAGCTAAATTTAATGGGTATAACGAAAACATAATTTTGAAATTAGTCCGAAAACAAAAGTGGAAAAAAGAAAGGAGGGCAGCTAGTACACTCTCCAGCGAGGGGGAACAAAAAGTAATTAGATCACCAATTTTATTTTATCCGGGCATCTCAAATGGATTAACTAAAATATTTAAGAATTTTGGTATTACTTTGGTAACATCTAAGAGTAATAATTTAAGAGATTTATTAGGTAACCCTAAAGATAAGGTAGATGAAGGGGGGAAATCAGGCATTTATAAAATACAATGTGAAAGTTGTAATAAATGTTACGTAGGACAAACAAAAAGAAATATAGGGGTCAGGTTTAAAGAGCACTTAAGAAATATTAAAAATCAAGAAATTGAGAAATCTCCAGTGGCTGAACATTTATTGACACATAATCACTCTATTAAAACCATAAAACTAATTAAAAACGTAAATAATTACAAAGAACTTAATATCAGAGAAGCAATAGAAATGTTTAAAAATAAAAACAATTTAATTAATTGGGATCTTGGCCCACTGAAAAATTCATTATTAAACTTGTGTAAACTGGCAAAATGTGATAATATTACTTAGTGATAACGTCACTAGGTGATAAGGTCACTAGGGGTATATAAGGGAGTTTTTTCTAGTCGGGGTGTCAGTATGTGTTTAGCGTTGATAATGGTAACATTGTTTCCGAAATACGTATCCGCGACTTTTCATTAATTTTTTGTGGCTTTGAGTTTAATATTTTTAATATTTTTTAGTTTTTTTTAAATTAATAATATTTTTAATATAGTTTTAATTTTACTTAATTAAAATTAAGTTTATGACAATTTTTTGTCACTAATAAACGTTGTAATAAGAATTTCTTTCTTTTATTCATTTGCGCTTAGTAAAAATCTTCTGTTCTACTTAAAACAAGACTATTTTGTATAACTTTCCGGAACAATAATTTTATTTTACTTTCTGCAATAAGTTATTTGCATAATTCTATACTTTATAATTTTAGTGCGTATCTATTGGATTTTGGAGTGGTTGGATATTAAATAGTGAAGATGTTTACCCTGAAGTAATGAATAATTACATACCAAAATGGATAAACCACATGGCACACACTGCACCAATATTTATTTCATTTTTTGGATTATTGTTTGTGTATCATAAAACACCAACTTTAAAGGTTTCTCTAACGTGCTTTATTACAATGACAACATTGTACATCTTAACGTGAGTATAATAATAATTATTTTCGTTACTTGTAAAAATAAATAATTTCCTATAATTTAGAGATTTGTTTGTCTGTAAATAGACTAGATATCACGCTAAACTAATATCCATTTAACCCAACTTTAACAAAAAAAAAAAAAAACACAAGGAAAAAGCACAGGGGAGTCGCGGCAAAGTGGTGACGTGGCATAGTTGGATCAAGTATAGTGATATCTGACAGTGATTAAAATCACTATCAAAAAAAAACGCTTCGATGCAAATCTTTAAATAGTTTTTAATTTTAAAAAATTGGTGGATTATTCCAAAAGCTACATGATCTGCTAGTTCCTTATTAATATCCTAATTAAGATAAAGTATGTCGAATGAAAAAGGGATTATTAAAAAATATTATTTCTCATAAAAAAATTATGTTGTTCCATACACATTTCAATAAGTTATAGCATTATATAGTTAAAAATGTAAAAAATAAAATCGAGAATTTTCACACAATAATAGCATTCGGTAGCCATTTTCACTGTGAAGACAAAATAAAGTCCGAAATTTTTTTTTTTACATAATAAAGTACATTACATTAGCTTTAATTTAAGATATATAAAAGTGTCAGACTTTCCGGAAAACTTTCAAAAGTGAAGTTGAAAAAGTAAATTTTTTGTGAAAAAATTGTTATTTTAAATTCCCCCCTGTGGGCAGGTCTAGGGTCAAATTTATAAAACAAATATACCAAATGATAGGTAAAGACATCAAGCATCTATAAAAAAAAGTTATATTAATTCGTTCATTTTTGAAAAAGTTATGGTAGTTATAAGTAATAAAAATTTCGAAAATTAGTGATTTTTTAATTTGTAATTTTTTTGGAGGTTTCCCCCATTTACAGGGAACGAGGGAAATTTTTTAATTTTTGAGGGTAATGTCTTCGACTAGATACGATTTGTGATCTTTTGACATATCATTGAATGAAATCGGTTCAGTGAGAGCTGAGAAAAAGTGGTAACAGACACAAAAAAAAAAAATAAAACACATAGTAAAATTAATACCTTCTCAGTTTTGCATCGAAGCTAAAAAAAAATTATTCTCAACCTTTGTTATACTATAAACAAATGTCTGTAAAAGTAAAAAAATTAAAATGTTAACAAAAAAAAAAATATTTTATTTTCAATTTTTGAGTTTAAAATGAATTATTTCAACAAAAATATTAAACTGATTTTCATTAAATGTTTTTTTATGCAAAAATCACTGTCAGTTATCATCTATATTAGTTCCAATTATGCCGCATCTCAACTATTTTTAAAATATAAAATCAGAATTTATCAAGGAATGGTATGTATTCTTTATTTTGTATAATTTCAGATTAATTACACTACGAGTTAAAAATGGAACATGTGCCTATAATATAATTGATGTATACGTCAACACAATATTAAAAATTATTGTAATGTTTTCATTTTTCTGTTAAATTATGCCGATAACTTGTTCAATTTTTTGTCGCATATTAAACGATTATTATTAGGGTAAGTAAAAGTGAGTCTTTTGTCTGTGTGATTTTTAATAAATTTTACATTTACAGGGACAAAATATATTAAAAATGCGAACATTTTGTCTTCAAATAATAAAATGGAATAAAATAATATTAACACGATTTTTATCACTAGTGTTTCTGATTAATAATAAACAAGAACTATATGATTTCATTTTTTTCGTTAAAATCAAACAACCTTATACTATTTTAAATCTATAAAACTTATAATTAATTAAAATGTATAATGTAATTCTTCAAATACCAAATCAATTTGTAATGTTAAAAACAAATTACAAATTGTTTCATGCATTTTATTTATGTATCATTTTCATAATAAAATTTTTATTGTTTCTAAAAAAATTAGTTTTCCAGGACTTTTTGCAGAGTAATATTCTGTAAAATGCGTTAAAGGTATCGGTTACATTCTGTATATACTGTATATGTATTAGAAATATTATATTAATAAGGTCAAAGGAGAATTTGTGTTAAATTTTGTTTTATTTTATCTCCTAGTAAAAAGCAATTACTTAATAATTGAATATCTATTAATAAGGACATCTATAAATTTACCTGAAAATAATATAATTTTAAAATAATAAATGAACTGTCATAAAAAGTAATAAACATTATTATTATTACTTTTAAAGAAGTGGAATATACGCGTGAATTAACCTGAATGAACTATGATAATACGCAGATAGCTTTTTAGATTGCGCGCTGTCTAGTTTTCCATTACAAATAATTACGAATTTTTATTAAAATAATTACACAAATTGTTTACAACTATAATATTTTTGTTGTAGTTTTATAATTTTTAAATTAAATTTTTTAATACAGAATTTATTTAGTGCAAAATGACATCGAATATCAATGTTAATTTCCGTGATCAGCCTTCTGCACTTATTCGTGTAGTAGCCCATGGCTTCATTACTGTTTTAATGTTTTATACTATTTTAGAAGCTGATAAAATAGATTTTTCTGAAATTAAATTATCCACCATCAGAAATCTCGAAAAATATCGTTATTTTACATGTACATTTTTAACAGCGGTAAGAAAATTGTATAATATATTACTCAAAATATTATTTTATTTTTTAAAAAATCCAATAATTGATGAAGCAATATCGAAACTAGTAGTTACCTTATATTTTTTGACACTAGCATAATTTTATATTTTTATTTTAATATTAAATTGTACGCTATTTTATAAATATTTGGCTTATAGCCAAAGTTGATAAGTCACAAAAATAAGGATATAATTATTTTTTTAAAATTCTAACTGAAAGGGATGTTTTTTGTCATGTACCAAAAAATAAAATTCAATGTTATTGAAATTTTTGTTTTTTTTTCTTTTACTTCATAAATTTGGATTTGCATAAGACACTAATGAAATTTTAAATTTGTTAGAGTAACCTGAAGCAAGATGACCCATGACGTACTCTCATCATTAGTAAATTCATAAACACTAAAAAGTTTGACTATATTTATTGTACAGAATTTTAAAAACTGTAATACTGTGTAAAATCTGATTAAGTTTAAATATTAAACATTTGTAAATGTAAATTTTCACTTATAAATTTTGTTAAAAATTGAAAAACTCTGTTTTATTAAGGTATAAAATTATATTTATTTTTTAAATTGTAGAAATAATACTTCACAAAATACAAATTTTTTTGTTTAAGTACTTGCGTTCCTTTTTTGTATGATATTCAATAGGATTTGTAATTTCTTTTGTTCAACGTTTAAATAGATTAACTTTAATTCTAAATTGTATTTTACGTTTTTAAACATTTAACATTAGTTAAAAAATGCATACGTTTATCATTGTTCACTTTAAAACTTAAATTAATTATTAGTTAAATGTGTTGTAAAGAATTAAAAATATAACTACTTAACATAAGTAGTTTGAAGAAAGAACTAAAGACAATTGTATATAAAATATTTAAAATATAACCTTTGAATATCATTTATTTAATGATCATGTTTTAATACGTATTTTTTACGTTATCAATAGAATTATTTTCATTGATATTACATAGATTTTCGTTATGAACAAAAAAATTTCGTTTAAAACCAGATGAAGAACTAGTGGTCAAAATCGCCCCGATTAGGGTCTTAAAGACACCCAACTTCAGGAGACACATTAATCAATTTAATAATAGTGTTGATAGGCATAACAAGGAACTAAGGACTTAGGACTAAGGGAGGCTTAGCACCTAGTTAATAAGTAAGCACTCTCCCAAAATATTTTGATAATTATGTATAAATACATAATTTTATTTTAACAATTATACTACAATGTAATATATCAATTAAGGCGGAGGAAAATAAATTTACCTTTCTGAGAAATTCTATTTTAGTACGCCTAAGTCTGTAGTATCATTACATTTTTTTTAGGGAATAGGATGTTATAATTTCAAATAAGTTCAATGATCTTTTTACTTGCTAAAAGAAACTACTATTAAAAATCTGATAGGCCAGGTCTGGAATAGATTTAAAAAAAAAAAAATCATGAACTGTTCAATGGGTAGGGCTGATCGGCCTTTTTTCTGTGGATAATTTGGCTGTATTAGGCCGAGACTTAAAATTAAAGCCCATGCAGGACTCTATTAATTATTTTTCCTTTTACAGAGTTTGACTTTTGTGATTTTTTCCTTATATACTGCGTTGGATTTATTGGAAATTATTCCAAAACCCGATATGATAAGTAAAGTGCTGAAAACTATTCGGAAAATAGATGATTTATTGTTTATATCTATTTCATTGCCAATAACAATTGTAACACACCTATTACTTATTTAATTTCTAAATGTGCGTTCAGTGCACATTTTAGTATTTAAAGAAGATGTATTTCATAGCTATTGAGATGGATTAATATTTAAATCTAACAATTTCACTAAATTACATACTTCTGTTTTTTGTATTAATAATGGTTGCACTGGATTCGCAGATAATATAATTAAAAAACATCTAGCAAAATTTTATTATAATTCTATTATATCATATTTCTAGAGCGTATGTAGTGCATTTTGGCTTGGTTGCATGCTATACGGCAAAGATGTTTATCCCGAAGAAATGAATAAATACATTCCAGAATGGATAAATCATATGGTTCATACAGCACCAATATTTTTTTATTTTTTCGAATTTTTTTTTGAAAATCATAAAAGTCCAAGTCTAAAAGATGCTCTTACTTATCTTACTACAACTATCACAATATATACAATAACGTAAGTATTATTGTAATTATAATCTTTATAATATAACTATAAGTAATATAGATTTATATTCTTTAAAAAAATAATTACGCTAAAAATGTATTTTATGAATAAAAATAGATATATAAATAGACTAGTTACTTCACCTTAAAAATTTAAGGGACATACATTTTAAATTTAATTTATTGCTTACACGTTAAAAATCTAAGAATAAAAAAATTAATTCGATTTATTGCCATTTTGAAATATTTAAGGGGTAACTAATGTATATATTTGGATTAAATTGTCATTAAACGATTATATTATGAATTTCATTAGACAACCATTTGAACCTTTATTTTAGGATATACATAGTTTTTAGCTTTCATACAAAGCAGAGAAGGTATTAATTTTACTATAATGTGTTTTTCTTTTTGTGTGTATGTGTGTGTAACTATCATCACTTTTTCTCAGCTTTCACCTGGGACCAATTTCTTTTAAAGAGTCGTCAAAAAAACACAAATCGTAACTAGTTCAAGAAATCGCCTTAAAAATTGAAAAATAAAACCATTTCTCTATGAACAGGAGGTTTCAATACTTGAAACATACGTATAATATAGTAGAATATCTTCAACTTAAATTTGAAAATGTTCCAGAAAAACTACATCCAATAAACACCCAATGATTAAATATAATGCATCCAATAGTTAAAATTTAATAAATTAAATCTTATTTTACTTACTATAAAAACAAAAATTTTCCCGACACTTGTCTTCTATAAAGACCCTCTAAATTGAATAAGAAATGTTATTTTAGTATTTTTTATTGCAGTTTTTAATGTTATATTTACTTAGAAGTATCATAATTTTTTTAAAGATGGATGAATTAAAATTTTTTTTTGATAAATTATTTAAGTACTTTCTTTTTACATGGTATATATATATTTTTAATCTGTCCTTTTACTTGCCTACAAGGGGATTCAAAACAGCAACATTTGCATTAAAGCTTATGTTACGTACTACATATAAGCGGCTTTCGAATTTAATGAAAAACTGTTTTTTTTTTTGTGTAAAATTTCATCTTTTTTTGTGTTGTTGAACTATTCAATCAAAAAAATCAATTTATTTTTCATAATTTTTAATATTTTTACACTTGCTTCAAGTATTCGTTTTTTTTTTCAATTAATTTATTTCAAAATATTGTCTACAATTTTCTATTTTTAAACTATTAATATAATTACACTTATAGTAGTTTACTATAATGTCAAAATGTATCCTAATGACTAAAAGTTGAATTGTGCTGTGTCAAAAAATTCTAAGTAACTCATAAATTAACAAATTTATCAATATAATATGATATTTAAAAAGTGATATTTTATTTTTAAAAAATGACTTTTAATATATAAAAAATGATTTTGAATATTTTAAAAGTCATCTTTAATATTTAAAATGTGATTTTGAATATTTAAAAAGTCTTCTTTAATATTCAAAATATCGTTTTTAAATATTTCTCCATCATTTCCCATAAATAGTCGAAATTTCTAAAAAAATGTTCTTACTAAAATGGCTTATGAAAAATTATGTAAATGAAATACAGGATGATTGTTTTAATAGTCACTGGATAGCCACTCTTATCCATTAGATTTTTGTTAAAATAATAATTATGTTTTCTAAGAATATCATGTTTGGTATTGTTTAGTTTTATATACTTCTTGGTTTATCAATTTTAATATTTTTTTTAATCCTTTATACCTTATATAGGTTTCAACATAATTTTTTAAATGGCAATATACATATTTAACTAGCTTATAAATTAAAAAAATATCTAATTAAAAAAATTATTTATCTATAACAACTTTTAACTCATTATTTTGAAAGTTTTTAAAAAATCATCTTTACTGGATCGCGGTATGGCCAGGACGTAGCATAAATTTCATTTTTATAGTTTATATTTATTTATTTAATATTCTTATAAATCTTAAACTCGTAATCAGGATGTAATTAAGGAAATAGAAGTTGATGTTGCTTTAGGAATAAGCTCATATAAAGATGTTCGATAAATAAAAACTTTATAATTTTTATATACCTGTATATAATTCGATAACTAACTACTCTCTATATTTAATATAATAATTTTCAATATTTAAAAACTTTACTATTTAATGAACAGTAATGACGTGCTCATAAAGTCTAAATATTTATTAAAATATACTACGAAAGTAAATGTAAATAAACATTCTCTGTATCCATCTGTTATACATTTTCAAAAAATGATCAAAAATTAAGAGATGTAGAAAATATTTTTAATTATTCATAATAAATTGTAATAAACTTAGTTAGTTCGATTACACAACTTTATAATATTTATAAGTGTAGTACTAATATTTTCAAATAAAATATAATTATATATAATAATATAATTTCTAATAGAATATTTTAGTGCAATTATTGTGCTAAAATATTTTTCTATTGAATTACTTAAATGTTTTAACTTATTTATAAAAAAAATAATACATAACATTAAGTTTGAAAATCAACTAATATTATTTATATACCTCTTGTATACTTTATTATATTATAGATTAATTACACTGCGGGTTAAAAATGGAGAATGGATATATTATATTATTGATATCTATGTAAATACATTATTCAAAATTACTATGATGTTCTTAATACTTGGTTACCTTACACCCATATTTTTTTTAATTGTGTGTCTCGAAGCCAATGATTATTATTGGGGTAAATGAAGTTTTAATTATTTTTCATCATTTGTATGGTTTTAAATAAGTTGTAAATTTATAGGGACAAAATCTGGTGGATATATGAACAATTTTACTTCAAAAATGAAAATTAAATGAAAAAAAAAATATTTTAGTAGCGTTTTTAACAGCAACGATCTTCATTAATATACAAATACTCAGATAATTCATGAAAAAGTCATGTGAAATTGATACAAATTATACAATTATATACAAATATTATTCAAATTCTAATTAAAATAAAAGAAAAAATTGAAATAGATTCAGACATTTTAAACTATAATTGTGAAGTTAATTTTTAACAGAATAAAAAAATTAATTTAATGTGTAACAACTATATTTCTCATTTTAAAAATGAGTGTTCTAAACTTCATTACTCGCATTTAAAATATTTATGCATAAAAATTTGAAGAACATCAGATTCTTTAAATCTTTATCAAATAGAAATTAATTTAGTTTACTTTAAGTCTAATAAAAGAATAACGTTTCAACGACAATGAGTAAATATCATCTTAAATTAAAATTAGTAAAATTTTTCAATTTTTTTTTTGCATTGAAACGTTTTATGATAATAATGTAGTTCATTATTATATTTTAAACTATCTAGAGTCTTTATCTAGTATGACATTATGGTAGGTTATTTTATGACTTTTCACAATTTTGAAAAGAAGTTAAATTAATTTATCAAAAAAAGCATTTATTTTTTCTAAAATCCTCTCTTCTATAATTTTGTCTGACTATCTTAATTTTAATTCATAATAAAAATTCTTTTAAAATTTATGAGAAAGAAAATTATTAATAAATATCAAAAAAAAAATTATAATGATTAATACCTTGCATTCTGAAAAAAATACTGTAAGATACGTTGTATGTATAATTCGGAAATATAACTTAGGCGCTATGTATTTAAGTCCTTTCCTTGTAATATAAGATTATTTAGATTATGCAGAAGCATCACATTATTTGATATATTTTTTATTTTCACCTTTATCTAATAATTACATATTATTACTTAAATCTACTGAATGGATTCTATCTTTTCCAGTGATTTTATTATTTATCAATGTAGTATAATTTTGACTACTGTGGGAATTTTTAATTAAAAAATAACTGTAAATCAATGATTAAAGCTGTTATTTAATTAAAAAAACTGGTATGAAAAAATATGGAGTCCAGAAATATTTAGAAGAAAACAATATACTGGCAGTTAGATGTTAAATTTCTATGATTAAATTTTAATTATTGAATCATGATATACTTATGTTGCCTAAGGTTATCTTAATGATCAATGCGCATAGTCGTTTGTATAAGCGAAAGCAATTTTACTTTTCATTTTTTTATACTTATTAATGTACTTTTTATTATATTAAATGCATAAGTACATATACTTATGCACAAAACGTTTAATCCTAGTAGTTGACAAACATAAACAGTAGCATATTTACGATGGCAAATAGGGTTAGCTGCCTTTTTAAAAATTAACTTTTTAATTTCCAGGGAAATATTTTTTTTATTATTTAATATTTAATATAATTTTGTTTATTCTAATTAATGTTATTTGGTGTTAAGGCATCAGTTTCACATCTTCAGCATCACACATCAATTTTTACAATATCCCTAAATAAAATATTTATATCTTGATGTTTATAATGCATCATTTATTGAGACTTTTGTGTTTTGTTCACTTATAGTAAATTCTTGTTGAGATAAATTTAATTTTTACAATATATTAAAATTATATAAAATTAAAATTTTCAAACTCTGAAATGTTACTAAAAAATTTAATTTCCATAATTAGTATATTTTTAATTTTTGCTAAATTATTGAGATAGAAAAAAATGTCTTATTCTTCAAACTTAAAACAAATATAAATTTTAGACCTCTATTTTAAATAAATAAGAATTTTGAATTTCATCATGTTAAATACTTTTTCATCATAAAACACTTATTTTTTCAAAAAAATAAAATAAAAATATCTAAAGAATATTTTTTTAATTTTTTGATGAAGATAATAGATAATTGGTGTTAGTTTCAATACTAAAAATACATATTTGTAAATGTTAGAAATATAGTTTGTGTATTTACAAACAAATTATTTAAATTGTATGATCAGTATAAGACATTTTCAAGAATGATTTTGATTGTTCAATGTAAATACAGTTTATCAGTCTATAAATTGCGTTTCATGTATTCATATCAATCTACTTAAGCAAAATGAAAACGAAATCGACTTTCGTTTGAGTTGCTTCTCTGTATGATGTCTTCTGGCAGCGGGGACACCTTTTATAAAAGACTGCGATACGCCTTACACCTCATCATACATACTAACATGGTCAAAATGAGGTAAGCTTTGCAAGACTGATAATTAAAAAGGATTATTTTTTTTATAAATTTCAATCTATGATTGATAAAAATTATTAATTTTTTTTAGAAATCAAAAATGTTTTATTATTTTTATGCTGACACTTGTTTCTAAAGGAAATGCATGGAGATCTAAAAACGATGATTGCGCATTGCCATTAAAACACTTTAAATATATTTCGTAAGTAACATTTAATTAATATTAACATAATTATAAAAACGCATAGAACCTAACAAATTACATAAAAACATTATGCATATTAAATATATTTTCAACAAATACCTTATTATAAAATAATTTAATTAACCTAAAAATTATAAATTATTTTTTTTTCTATTCGGTAATAATATATATAACATATATTTTAATATTAATAAAAATTGCTTCAATTTATTAAATATGAATGAAATTTTTGGAAATAATGGGTAGTAATAATCACTTTTAAGAATGAAATAAATGAATGTACATTTTAAGTAAAATCTGAAGAAAAGTGTAATTTTGTAAACACATATATTAATATTTTTAAAGAAAATTAAAAATATATATCGTCGAATTCTAAAATATTACTCTTGGATAACATAAAAAGTTGAATCAATAAAGTATTTTGAATCCAATGGACTTTATAGACAAAAATTTGTTTTGTTAATTTAAAAGGGATTAGTAATTTTTCATTATTTATTTTTATGAAAATGTTGTAAAAAGATATTATTTTGTAACAATCTTAAGTATACACTACCGTATTATGATAAAATATAATTTTATTAAGTAATGGTCATTGTTTTTTTATGAGAATAAAAAAACATTATTTGGACTACAACTTTAAGTTAATTTTCTTTAGTTTCTTATGAAGATATGTTTTCATGAGAATATGAAATATAAAATACTTTCATGCTAAAGGTCATATTGGGTGTTCAATAAGTAAGACATAAGGTTTATAATAGTGTTTCTATTATTCGTAAGAATTAATCTCTTACTTTTTGAATACTCTGTAACAACTTGCACAATTGTACATTTAAAGTGGTAGTATAAAAAAAATGATTTAAAATATTATACTTAATATATATTGCATTGATGAGGATACATTTTTAGAGGATATTACTGCGTTCTTTAACTACATTGAAATAAATTTAGTTAATAGGAAAATTAATCACTTTATTTATGTATCAAATGAGATTCATCATGAAGTTCATGTGAAACGTTAAATTCTATGTAAATACCCGTGTACTCTTTACACTGGTCCATTAATTTAATAAAGCACGTGTCATATTGGAAGCTGAAGTTTCTAATAAATTATTTCGAATCGACTCAAAGTCAATATTTGATGCTTTAATACATTTATAATATTTGTTAAATCATCATTGCATGAGAGAACGAGAAGAAAGATATTTGATTCTTGTGATTAAAGTAATGAAATATACACTTGATGTAAAGAGCTGATTTAAAAACCAAAACAATTATTATAAAGGAGAAAGTTTATACTTCATTTGTACGCAGGGCCCGGTGAGATACCAAATAGTTATGACTCTGCGAGATGCTTTTAATAAAACTGCAAAATCATCCCGTTTAGTGTAATAAAAAGCCAATTAATAGCAATTAAACTAAAACAATAATACATTTCACGATTTGTTTTAAAATAAATATCGATACAATATATTATCCAAGACAATAAAGATTTTTTTTGGTGATTTCCGTACAAATTAAATTTTGGAGAAAGAGTGAAGATATTAGAAATTTTACATTTTTTAATCATACTATATATAACTAAAAGAGAGCATATTGTTAAAATGAAATTGTGTCACGAAAGTTCATTGAAAAGAAAACATATTCTTGATCAAATAATAACTATCAATAAGTAATTTTTGTCGATAGAGGCAATCTTAATTATTATTATTATATTATATTATTAAGGGAAAAAAATCTAGAACAGTTGTATTAAAGATTTTTCTGGCTATGCTGTCATCTTTCATTCTTGAATGAATGCATCATGGCAATTTTGGCTATGCCATTGATGTATTTGGAAAATTTTTAAATACTAAAAAAATTAACAGTTTATTTTTTAAATTAATATATGAATTGAAATTACACGTTAACAGTCAATTTCATGGTGAAAAATGTATTACTTATACTAACGTAACTGACGCATTCCACGAAGCATGTAAAGGCGTACTGAGCATTGAGCCAGGGACAAATGATTTAACAGATATTCAATTAGAAAATTTTGGATATGTCTTGCAGGAAACTACAAGAATAATTTGTGAATGGTTAGTACATTTTTTATTAATAAGTAGGCAATTGTTTAATGAAATCGTGAACTATTTTATATCTAATCTATACATAGTAATATTTCATTGACTAAATATTTTATTTTTTAACAACATAATATTTTGACTTAAGGTTTGGACTTACTAAAGATCAAGTACGTAGTTTGTTGCCTCTTATAAACACAATGAACACAGACATTAAATCATTTTGTCCCAAAGAATTGAAATCTTATCCTGGAAATGACTGCAGTGGGATTAATTTTCGATCAATTGATGGTAGATGTAATAATATAGTACACCCTCATTGGGGAGCTGCCAAGTTACCGTTTAAGCGCTTATTACCACCGGATTATGGAGATGGCAAGCCTTTTATGATTTATACATTTATAATAAAATACAAAATTTTAAATAAATAATATGAGTGATTTCGTCATAATAATCCAATATTCTTTAATTAGTTATACTAAGAATAAAAAGATATGTTAAATGTTACTTATAATATTAATGTTTCATTTGAAGGGATCAAATCATTTAGAACAAGTATAACAGGATTTCCATTACCAAATCCTAGATCAATATCTGCTCGAATTCATAGAGATTTACCTAAACCACATAGAACCGATATTTCATTTATGTTTGCTGCCTGGGGACAACTCATTGATCATGATCTAACCCTAACTGCGGAAACCAAAGGTAACATAAATCGTATAGTAATAATTTAAAAGTTCGAAGTAACCTTTCTTTCGTTTAATAGAACCTATAACAAGACAAGAAATCAAATGTTGTTCCGGAGCTACACATCCAAGTTGTATACCAATACATGTACCATCAGACGACCAATTTTTCATTGGGAATCACCGACAACGTTGTATAGATATGATTAGATCATTAGCTGGTGTTACTATAGATTGCACATTAGGTAATAATTATTTTAAAAAATTTAATTTTATAATAATTAAAAAGATTATTGATATCTTTTCAATAAATGAATATATTTTGCGGTTAAAAAATCTTATTTACAATAAATTATGAAATTTATAATTTAATATTATTTCATCATAATGTATGATAAATTATTCATAATTCGTAGATGATAATGATAACTTTATAACTATAAATTATTATTGTTGTTACATGACTAAAAATATATGGAATTATTACTTAACAATTGTATGGTATAAAAAAATAATTTTTACTTAATTACGATACAATCGGTACAGTTGTATCAAATAATTATTATTGTATTAATTCAATTGTGTATGCCTGTGAAGGTATGTAATATTCCACTTGAAAAATATATAGCCCCATATAATAATATCATAATATACACGTTAAACAGAAGATAAAACTATTAAAGTAATAACAGTTGTTGAAAAGTGAATGGGCAGGTGCAAAATTATGAGGGTGCAGTAATACTTCGCCCTTATACATGTAGTTTCTTGGACCCTGGTACTAGAAACCTTTCCACAGGGTGCAATTGTTATCTGAAACTGCATTTATGCTGTTTAAAGGGTAATTCGATAGCAGTTATTTCAAATCATAAACCCCTATTCACAATAAGCCAATAAGAACCCTTTTTGCGCACATTATTTTGATTTTTATAATGCATGTTTCATCGAGGATTTAAAATTTTATAAACAGCGTTACTTCTGCGACCCTGATCCTCTAAGACGCTACTTGATCGGTGTTTTGCGATGGTGCAGTGTATTGTATATGTGTAATAAATCTTAATATGACTTAATATCTTTGCTATCTGAGATCTTAAGATCAATAGAAAGGAGTGTAATTCTGAACATAATTTTTCTTTATTAAAAAAATTATGTATTTGTTAATATTTAAGCATATTTACATCAGCCTTGAGAAATGAAAACTCTCTTTTAGAACCCCTGAATATAGTTCACCCTTATATAACCAATCCCTCTTTTGTGTATATTCTTATATTCAGGGTATACTAAACCCTAATTTTTAAAAACCCTTACATAAAATAAATTTCTTCATAAAGTGTTTATATTTATCATATCAAAATATTAAAAATATATTAACTTAAATATTTAATAATTAATTTATCTTAAACTAATTAAACTAATTCAGCGCCGTATTTATATGCAGGCAATATAGGCCTACAAGGCATATTTTACGGGCCGGCAAATATTGAAGGCTAATAAATGTATAAAAAGCGAGTTAATTTTTTATTTTTATTGAAACATATTGATAAACTAATAATTATCATAATCTTTTTCATTTATTGTGTAAATATGATTTGTATATTAATTTCTACAAGCAATTTATTTTATGATTTATTAATAAACATAGATTTGCTTGAAAAATATTTTTATATACTTTTTTTTGTGGAAGAATCAGTAGTGTTATGGCTAAAATGTATAAAAATGAACCCCCTCCGTCATAACGTAATGAAGAGTGACAAATTTATAAATACCTATAGGCGGAAAATATGTGAATATGCCTCTGTATATGTTTAAAATTATTTTTTTTGTAATGAAAATATAATTATTATTATTACTATAATATTTTATTTATATTAAACATTCTATCTAAAAACTATGCTTAGGTTTGAGAGGTTGTGAAATCTACTTAGCCCATTACAACGGAATCAAACTCTGTACACTGAGACACAATACTCTCTCGATTAAGCTAAGCAGGCTACTTTAACCATAAAAATACTTTAAACTTATTTTGATTGATTCAAAAAAAAAACATTTTTCCTATTTCAACAAAAACTTTATTTTAATGTATTTATTAGGTATAAAATAAATAAACATATTATTATTTTTATTTTTTAGGACCTAGAGTACAAATAAACGCATTAACATCATCAATTGATGCTAACTTCATTTATGGATCTAATGACGATTTGGCTAAAAAACTAAGATCTTTCGAAGGTGGCAAATTGACAATGGTACCAATTTTAGCAGGACTTAAATTAAAATTTATTTTACCGCCAAAAAAACATCAACCTGACGATGGATGTATTAGACCGCATTCAGATTTATATTGTTTTTTAGCGGGTATCTTGTTTTGTATAACAAAAATTAAAAATATTTATAACTATCTGTAATATATTTCCATTTATTAGGTGATAACCGAGTAAATGAACAATTGGCTCTAGGTGTACTTCACACAATATTTGCACGTGAACATAATCGAATTGCTGACGAACTTTGTGTCATTAATCCCCATTGGGATGACGAACGATTATACCAGGTGTGTAGTTTACAATATAAATAATTTAACTACAAAAAAGAAATTTTTCATTTTATAAGACTAAAAAGTAAAAATGTTTGATAGTATTTTTAAACAATTGAGTTATTACTTAGTGTTTTAAAAACATTAATTTTTTAAGCCATCTCTTATTTTTCATATTTTACATCTTTTTTAGGAAACAAGAAAAATTATTGGGGCAATGGTTCAACATATAACATACAATGAATTTTTACCAAAGCTTTTGGGTAAATACACGATGAAAAAGTTTGGCTTGGAATTAGTGCCTCAAGGATTTTCAAACAGTTACGATCCCGATATAGACATCACTATACCAGCGGTATTTGGATCAGCAGCTTTTCGCTTTGGTCACTCTTTATTACCAGACGCAATGGAAAGATGGAGTGTAGATCACAAGTTTTTAGGATCAAGAAGATTCAGTGAAATATTCCAACAACCATATGATCTTCACAAACCTGGATGGTTAGATCAATACCTTTTGGGTATGGTTAATCAGCCGTCACAAGCTATGGATGACGCTATAACATCACAAGTAAAATTAAATCATTCTATAAAAAATGATGTGAAGAATAATGAATTAATTTCATATTAAATTATAACAAAGGTAACGAATCATTTATTCCAAGAACCCGTTAACGACTATGGAAAAGACTTAGCTTCCATAAATATTCAACGTGGTAGAGAACATGGTATACCATCGTATTCAGCATGGAGACAATTTTGTAAGTTACAGTCCATTAAAACGTGGAGCTCTATGCTAACTGATATTAGCAATGCAACTGTCAAAGCCTACCATGATCTTTTTACATCTTCCGAAGATGTTGATTTATGGTCAGCGGGAGTTTCAGAACGTGCTTTCGATGGAAGTATTATAGGCCCAACACTTAGCTGTATCATTGCTAAAACTTTCAGTGATCTGAAAAAAGGAGATCGTTTTTGGTATGAAAATCCTGATTTGCCCAATTCGTTTACCTTGGGTAAAAGTCTTCATAAATCTAAAAATAATTATATGTAATTACACATAGAGCACTTTAAAATTGCACAATAATTTAAATTTTTATAGAACAACTAAGTGAAATAAAAAAGATTAAACTATCACGAGTGTTGTGTGACAATAGTGATGGTATTGCAACTATTCAACCATTTGTATTGGAATTACCTTCATATAATAAGTATTAATATTTACAGTTCTTGAAATTTTGAAAAATATTTAAAGATAAATTTTTTGTTATTAGAAATAGTAGAGTATCATGTAAAGGACATATTTTACCTCAAATAGATTTATGGGCCTGGAAAGAGTATCCCGGGTGCTGCAATAAAAAAAAGGTTTAATTGATAATGAATATTAGTGCTAACTATACTTAAATATATATAATATTTTTGCAGGTTTCAAATCCACACAATCCCACAACACAGTCGCACAAAGTTCACGTAAATGAAAGGAATAAAGATGATGAAAATTTATATAAGTTCATTCAAGCTATAGCTGTTAACATTTCATCGGCAAAACCATACTCATCGAAATAGTTAAATTATTTATTTATTTTAAACTTATTAACTGATTATTTATATATGTATAGTAATAATATATTTTGTTGTACGTTCAAAGAAAAAAATAAAATCTATTCGATCTAATACAAACATGTGTAAAATTGTAATCTTTTATTTTTTTATATGTTATTTATATTACTAATCTTAAAACCCGGTCCCGCATTTACAAAAAATTGTAATACATACTGTGTTTATATTATTTATTTATTTTAATAATAGTCATAACAATAACAATAAAATTATTTTGTATTATTGAAGCTAAAAGAGTATATATTAAACATAAGTATTATTTATGACTATAGTAATGTTTTTGGGTATACATAGATTTTTTTATTTTAATATTTGGTAAAAAATTATTTATTGTAAAACGTATACAAAAGCATAGCAAAGTATCACACACAAGCGCCTAAATTATTTTAACACACTTAATCTAATATTTAAATTATAATTTTATAAAAATAATGGCATACGAATTATTATTTAAAATAAAGTTACAATAATACAATTTTAGTTGACCTAATATATTATTGGAATAGATTTTAATTGAATTTCTAAAATGAAAGACAAATTTTGATGTAGTTCTTTCATTATTTGAATATTAAAGATTTTTAACAACTATTTAAAAACAAATAATCAAACCTATTTTACATAATAAAAAAATATGTGATTTAGTTTAAATAACATTTTATAATTTAGTTAACACATCTTTGTGTTAACAATCTTTTAATCTTTGTTTTTCTTCAGTTGTATTTTCACCTGAAAGTAAAACAAAATTAATACTTATTTAAAATTTTCAATTTATAAATTTAATACAATTCTGATATACTAATAGCTAATTTTTAAGCATATTTTCTAAAAAAAAACTCATTTTTTATGTACAATGTAAAATTATACACTTTTTTTACATTTAGCGGACCCCAACTACTTGTGATAAAATTTAGGGAAAATAAGAAGAAGAATGTATAAAATAATAAACATAAAATACTGCTTATAAATTTAAAGAACATGATGTGTCATGAAAAACAGTGTTGGTTTTACAATGTATCTAAGGTCCAGTAATTGAATAATAAAGAATTTATTGAATTTGAACTTTTTTTCTAAGATTTTTTTCACTGGATAAATTGTAAAATTTAAAACCATAATCAATTTCAAATATTTTTTATTAACGATAAAACATTAAAATTACTCTCCTAAGTTATATTTAATAAATGCTTAGAGAATACAATTAAGTATATATGCAACAAATTTCTTTAATAGTATGACGAAAGATATCACTCATAATTCAAAATTTATTTTGTTATAAAGACATATTACATATTATATTTCCCCCTTATTTGGATGAAAAGGTAAAAATGATACTTAAGAGTGGTTCAGCCACTGTCTATTTCAGTGTTGAAAATTATTTGTTTCACCTATGAGCATAATAATTTAAAATTGTTAAATAATAAAGCCATAAATTAAAAAAATTAGTTGAGATCGTAAACTAAAGCATCCTAAATTAGAGTATCATTGACAATTTTTCCTTGATCAATCACTTTTTATTAATCAAATTATCTGATTACACCATTTATACTTAACTATATAATTTTAAATATCAGAACCATTAATTTTAAAAATGTTAATTAGACATGGTTTAGAATAGGAAAAATACAATGGACTTTATTTATAATACTATTCTTTTGAATCACTTACTCCAAAGCCATGAACATAGTTTGTATCCTATAACCAAATGTATGCATGGGATAATAAAAGCTGTAAATAAAAAGAAAACTATAATTTCAGTAATCCCTGATTGAAATATTTCTCCTATTAATAAGTAAGTCCAAAATCCAGAAGTGTACTTCACATAAATTAAACTGCAATAAAACACACAAAAAGTCTTTTAAAATTAAATCTATAAAAATATCTAGCGCACAAATCTAATTAAATATTATTTAAAATAATAAATCCCAATAATTTAAAAATATATACAAAAATAAACAAAAAAATCCAGCACAGTGGGGTGAGGCACAGTCGGGACGTTGCATAGTTGGGTCCAGTATAGATTTAATCTGACAGTGATTAAAATCACTATCATTAGAAACGCTTCGATGCAAATCTGTAGATAGTGTTTAATTCTAAGAAATTGGTGGATAATTACAAAAGCTACATTNGTGTAGATAGTGTTTAATACTAAGAAATTGATGGATAATTACAAAAGCAACATTAATCTTTTGAATACGGTAGCCATTTGCGCATTGAAGATAGGTCGTCGGGACAAATTTTTTTTTTCATTTTATAGAACATAAAATAAGCTTTAATTTGATATATGTTTAAAGGACGCAGTATTTCCGGAACATTTTCAAAAATTAAGTTGAAAAAGTTAGTTTTTGTAAAAAAGTTGCTATTTTAAATCCCCCCCATGAGCAGAATAAGTGTTAGATTTTCAAAAAAAAATGATATCAAATGAAAGAAAATTACCTAAGGTTTCAATATAAAGAAATATTATTTTGATTAGTTAATATTTGAAAAAGTTATGGCAGTTTGAAGTACAAAAAACATCCTTATAGAAGGTGATTTTTATCGCAATTATTACATTTTTTTTTTAATTTCGACATCAATTTGCACATTGTAGATAAGGTGTCGGAACAAATTTTTTTTTTTCATTTTATAGTACATAAAATAAGCTTTAATTTGATATATGTTTGAAGGACGCAGTATTTCTGGAACATTTTCAAAAATTAAGTTGAAAAAGTTAATTTTTGTAAAAAAGTTGCTATTTTAAATCCCCCTCAATGAGTAGGGTAAGTGTTAGATTTTCAATAAAGTGATATCAAATGAAAGAAAAATATCTAAGGTTTTAGTATAAAAAAATTTTTTGTTGATTTTTGAAAAAGTTATTGAAGTTTTAAGAAAAATAAGTGAAAAAAATGACAAAATTTACCGATTTTTAAATTTGTAATTTTTTTGAATATTTCCCCCATTTTCGGGGAACGAGGGAATTTTTCTCAATTTTTAAAGGTAATGTCTTCAACTAGATACAATTTGTGATCTTTTGACGTATTGTTANTTAAGGGTAATGTCTCCAACTAGATACGATTTGTGATCTTTTGACGTATTTTTGAAAGAAATCGGTCCCGTGAGAGCTGATAAAATATTTGATTAGAAATGATTGATACAAGTATATTCACAACATAAAATATTTTATTAAGCACATTAATATATTTTTTAATATTTATAGTTGCGGAATATATTATCATTATCGATAAGATATGCAAAACTCATTGCCGAAATTAATAATTGTATGATGTAATGAAAATTAATTTGGTTGATATTACCAGGCAATAGAAAACCACATAATACATATATGCTTAATCTATAGTTAAAACATTTTATATTCAATAATTACTTGAACAAGGAAAATAGGTAAATGAAAGACTGAAAAAGAAACTTTTTTTATCTAAAAGTATACTAACAAATTAAATTCCATTGCGTCAATCATTAATAAATTTAGACATTTAACATGTCAGAATTAAGGAGAGTAAGAGGATTAGATATAGGAAAATGTATAATACGCCATTAAAATCTAGTGGTTTACCTTTTGTAAAATTTGATATTTTCTGAACAACTTATAAACAAATATTTATACTAATAAGTTAGGAACTTATTTGCGTCGCTTGAGAGAAAAAAATTAAAAAAAACATGCATTATTTATTAATAAATAAATTTTTATAGATTTTATTAAAAAAACAACCCAACACATTAGGGACGCAGATTAGTTGGGACAAGTATAAATAATATGTCACAATGATTACTATCACATCATCACTATCATAACAATCGCTCCGATACGAATTTGTTAAATTAGTTGTTTATTAATACACTTTAAAGTCAAATATTTCAGAAATTTAAAATAAAATCTTTTTTTGTAAAAATTGACATTTTTTTTAATTTGACAGGCGCTTTCTTATGGTAGAAAAATCGTCGGAACAAATTTTTTTTATAAAATAGTATACTTTAAGAGTTTTATTTTGATATAGGTTAAAATAAACATTAGTTTTTAAATGTTTTCAAAAATTGTTTGCAATGTGTAGGTGTTTTATTTTAAACTCTATCTATACTAGGATTTTTATTATATTTACATAAAAACCATACTAAAAGAAGGCTTATTGTCATTTTTATTTTTCATATAAAAATCAGTTTTTTTTAAAAAAAAAATTATACTAGTTATAATATGCATGAAAAAAAAGTTAAAAACGCCATTACATTAGTATTGTTTTGAGATATTTTTTTTTTGAAGAGTTTCCTTTACAAGTTTTTGGTGCTGATAGATTCAACTAGATTGAGATTGAATGTCGACTAAATCAACAATATCGGTAATGTGAAATATTGCAACCCAAAAATTTTTTTTGTAATTACAACAATTTTTAATCCTAAAATGATTAAAAAATTTATTGGCACTTTATTTGAACTAATTATTTAAGAAACAACATAATTTTGTGAAAACAGTTAAATAAATGTTTAATAAATATTGTTTAAATGGTGTAAATTAAGATAAAGTTTTCGAGGTTTATTTTTTTAAGAAACATTTTTAAAAAATTAAAAGATATTTATAATCTAAATAAAAATAATAATTTTCACTTGATAATTTATTCTTTAACATTTTGTAACTTACGTCATTTCTCAAATAAGCTATTAATTTAGAATATCAACCATAGTGGACAATGAAAAGAAACTTAACCTCCCTTGAAATATCAATAGTCTCCTTAAATTGATTTTCTAAATCATTTTACGAAATTAGATTATTGTAGCTACCTTAATATTTTTATCTTAAAAATCTTAATCTGTGAATACTGTCAGTAGCGCATTTCAGTTTTTGAAAGGGGCACACATAAATTTTTTAAGATATAGAAAAAACATCGATGATATGAATTTTAATCAGTAATGTGATACGGTTGCATAGGTGCAAGGACATGGCTGGTTATGAATTACTTTAATTTCTATTATCAAAGTAGTTTTGTAGTAGTACAGAATTTATATTAACAAACTATTAAATTTATTTTAAAATAAATATAATAATATTTAAAATAAAGGTTAAAAAATAAGCATTAAACAATAATTGTTTAAAAGAATCAATTTTGTTTCTTCAAAAATCAATACTAGAATATTTATAGATATATGATACAAACGTGGTCATGCAAAAAATTGTTATATTATTCAAAGCTCATATTCACCGTTTGTGTAATTTATTTCATCGTATTATTTATAAGTCATGATTTTTCTCAATTTAGCAAAATAAAAGTACAAAGAATCCTTAAATAAATATTTTTATAACTTACCATAAAATATAAGATCCACCCAGTGAACAAAGACTGATTAAAGATTTGCTAAACTTAGGTACTTTACGTTTAGTTGTAATCATTTCAAGTAGGGATAATACAATGGGATTCGTGTGAACTGCGTGATTATACCAATCAGGTATCCATTGAGACATCTCTTTTGGAAAAAGTAACGGTTTATTTACTGCACAAATAGTCCAAAAAAAAAGGCACACATACTGTTTCAATAAAAATGTTTAATATTATTTATACTAATATATTTTCAGCAGAACATTATAGATAAAAACTACTTTAAATAAAAATATAATTTCTAAAGATATGTGAATAATTACATCATTATTATTTTTTGAACTATTAACGTCCCTTTTTGTTACATTTATAATATAATGCCTATTTAATTTTGATTTTTTTTGTTTTACAAATTTTTTTTTTCAATAATGGACTTATCTGGTTGTTAAAACAAGCTCTTTAATTATACTTATACTTATTTATATTTTTAATAATTAATATTTAGTATTTTAGTAACATAAATAATTAATATTTTAATTTTTACGTAATAGCATGGTCCAGTTGTTTATTAAAAATTATAACTGATAATGCTGTGATAGATTTTGTTAACCTTAACCTAAATAATAATTATAAAGCATAATAAACGGATATCACAAGGTGAATAATTGACCTGTATTAAAAATTTTTAAAATCATTACAATCCAACAAATTTTAGTAACTGAATTATTTAACTCTGATATAAAATAAATGAAAATATAAAAAAATTACGAAAATAAAATAATTATATTTAGACCATCCAAAAATTTGATAATATTTANTAAAAAAATTACGAAAATAAAATAATTATATTTAGACCATCCAAAAATTTGATAATATTTAAGTGAGATAAATGAAATTTGAATGAAGAATATACTAATTTACTATACTTTTACAAAAACTTGTTTTTTGTTTACCCATATAATTGCGTTCTAGGTAGCCTTAGTTGAAAAATTTAATATAAGCAAGTCAAAATAAATTAATATAACAAGCAATACATTTTTTTATTAGATTCGCAATCTTGTTGTTTTTAAGCTTATTTTAGCTAAACTATTTTACGCTATCTATATAAATTGAGCCATATATAATTTGACGATTAGAAAATATTTGATATTCGGACGAGAAAATATACTCTAATGATTTAATGATTACTAATATATTTTAAAATTACTTACAATAGTCACTGGGAAAACGAAGCTGACGAAATAAAAATCTCTCACTTTTTTGTTTTTTTCTAAATGCATGATTATTCTAGATTTTCCAAAAATATACTCTGCATAGTCGATACATATTGTGCAATAAAAAAAGTAAGCTATTTGAATTACCTGGAAAAAATCATTGTACTTTTATAAGTAATACATATGTATAGAGAAACGTTTTAAATTATTTTTATACAAACATTTAAATGTATATATTAAACCTAAATTAAAATAGATGAAAAATGCTATTGTGTACGGACACCTCAATATTTCTGTACATTTTAACTTATGTTGAAAATTTTTAGTCAATGTGATTACTCATGGATTATTCCTTTCTACAAAGGATCTTATAACCAAAAGTATAATTTTAAACATTTTGAAGTGTATAAAAGTTAAAAAAATTTGTTAATTTAAAAAAATAAAATTGTTTATCATAAAAATCATTTGACATCACATTCATTGAAAATTATGCAAAACTTTCTAAAAATTAATTAAAAATAACTATTATCTATAGATAAAGAATTTTTAAATTTTATAATAAAATTAACATAGATAAAATTCATTTTTTTGATTCATAACAAATAATTAAGATTTGATAATCATACTAATCAACAAAATGATACATTTTTAACCATCAGAGACCAAAATGTATTTTCTAAAGTAATTATTCGCATTGGTAAAATTACACCTTTTCTATCGCCTATAGTTTTTAAGATTATTAGTAAAAACAAATTTAATTACAGATAAAAAAATATTAAAAAAAAAAATAAATTTTCAAATTATTTTTGATTTTTAATATGTTAACACTAATCTATGTTAAATTTCCATAACTTGTAAATTTGAAATCAGAATAATTTAATAGGAAATTTTATGAGGTCTTGATATGTGGTCAAATACTTATTTTATTACTATTAATAATATCATTATGAGAAAATTTCGTTAAAATTACTATTTTCTTGCATTTATATCATAATAAATCATTTTAATAAAAATCTTACTCATCAATTCCATGTAGCTCTTAAATTTTAAATATAGTATAATTGAAATTTCCGGATCTTAATTAAATATATTTATTAATTATTCCTATTAATCTCACATAAGAATGATTTAATTTAAATAAATACATGAATTTTCAAATGAACTTAATAAGATTGTATTAACATAAAGGAATTTTGTGTTTCATTTTTATCTTAATGTGTTCTTGGATTTTATTTTAACATATGTTTTTATTATTTTGAATAATTAAAAAATTAATAAAGATCTGAAAATGTCAATTATACCATATTTAAAATTTAAGAGTTATATAGAATTGATGAGTAAGATTTCTATTTAAGTTATTTATTACAATACAAATGCATAAAAGTTTAACCAATCATTTTTAATTAATATTTTTGTTTTTAACTTCGTGTTTTTTTTTAATTTTTGATATTTTTGTCAAGTAAATAAATATTTTTTTTTTTTAGTTATAAAAAAAATGTATCGATCTATATTGTTTTTTAATTTCATTTGCAATATGTTTTGGCTCTAATAAATTATACGATGGGTTTCACTAAAATTAATGGTTTTGTACACTCAATGGAACAAAAATTGAAATAAATTAACTCAGGCGAGCATAGAATAAAATAGTTTGCTGATTTTGCAAACTTAAATTTTTTCACACGTTCACCTACTTTTGCATTCAATTCAATTGGTTGAATATTCAGCACATAGTCATAATTATAGTAGTAAACGGTTTCATTTTACTTAACATTATTTGAACAGTTTAATCATACAAATCATTTTAGTCTAAATAGCTATTTCTATTTTGAATGAATTATATTTCAAATTAAATTCGATGTATAAAGCTTAAAATATGTTCCGGTATTATTACTTCTAGTATTAGTAAAAGGTTACAAAAATTATAAGTTTTACTCACTTGATAAAGTCACTTAATAATAAAATTAAGGAAGCAATATCTTCGAAAGCTAAATGTTTTATCATTTTTTTGTAATGAAGTATTTACATAGCTCAATAACTATGTAGCTACTGAAGCATTTAAAATCAATAAAATTTGTACTATACAATTTTTACATAAATTAATTATCATTTTCAGAACTTTGGAACATCAATTATGCTTAAATTGTTAAATTCAACTACTAAGCAAATTAAAATTTTAGAGTTTCAAGTTATGAATTATAAAAGGCAACGTCGGCAATTGTTGCATGCTAGATTTTTTAAAACAAAACTATTCAAATTATTTTTTATTTTTAACACTAACCTATGCTAAATTTACACAACTTGTAAATTTGAAATCTAAATTTTATGAGAACTTAAATATAGTTTTATTTAGATTGATATATAGTCAGATACTTATATTATTACTATTAATAGTATCTTAATGAGAAATGCTAAAAATTTCGTTAAAATTTCTATTTCTTTGTATTTTTGTCATAATAAATCATTTTAATAATAATCTTACTTATTAATTTTATGTAACTCTTAAATTTTATATATGGTACAATTGAAATGTTCGGATCTTAATTTAAATATATTTATTAATTATTCCTAATGATCACACATAAAAATGATTTAGTTTAAATAAATATACGAATTTTTCAAAATGCAAAATTAAACAAAAGTATTCTGTTAAAATGTTTGTATTTAAGTGGTATAAGTGATTTATGTATCTTAAATAACGAAATCCTTAAATGTGGATTTTATTTGATAATGATAAAATTTTACGTACTAGACTCCAAACAGACATACATTTCCACCACCAATTGGAACCAAGTTTTCCAAATTTCGGATGAACGATATTTTCCAAATCCAAAACAAATAGTCCATAATATGATACGTATAAATAATAGAATGTAACGAATAAGCGAGATACTTTGTAAAGATGCTGGCGTTCCGTTTCTGTGAACGACCGACAAAACACAGAAGTCACAACAGGCGTAGGGCTCTTTATAGATGACACTTCCATAACTAATGGTTAGTAAACTTGAACGCTAATTTACTACTACTTATTAATACTACAATGTCTGCATGTTAAATAACGCACTTCAAAGTAACTGTTTAAGTCATAATAATCTCAACTCCCACCAATCAATGACGACATTAAAATTTTCTTTAAACATTTTTTATTTTAACTAAGACAATCTTTACATGATAATTCAGTAACACACATCACTCGTCATTTTATCGGCTTTAAATTAAAATGTATGGAAATTTAAAGAATTTTTTACAACACTTGATTAAAATCATATATAAAATAAACTTTTGCAAAGAAAACAGTAATAATTATTTTATTAGTACGAATAATAAGTATAAATTTGGAACGAAAATGGCGATATTCGAGGATTATTTTAATGGTACAACTACGGAGATACTGCAGTGCCCTCAAGCTTTAAATTAGTACTCTCAACTAAATTAGAAAATTATATCTACTATTATGTACAAATATTTTTAGGGTAGAAGAAAAATTCACATTTCATTAATTATCAATACACAAATAAATTCTTTTTGTAGCGTTACTAATCATATTGTAACTCTATTATGTAGATTACAGAGTATTCCACATGAAAAACAGAAAAGTTTTATTTATAGGATTACAATGGGAAATTAAATGAATGTATCCATCAATATCTCCAAAAACTTAAAGAAAAACATTAAAAGTTGAAATGTTGACTTCTTTCCATTTAGAGATAAAGTATACTAATATAAAATATTAATTCGTCATAGGCGCACCATACCTTTTCGAATTTAGTGCACAGGGGCTAGTATTTTATCCATCATAACGATAAATAGCTAGGAAAATTATAATTTATTTATTTTACTTCAGATAGAATAACTTAATAGAATATATGACAAAAAATGTATATTATTTATGATATTAATGGAATATTGTTGAAATTTGATTACGAATTGAATAACAATAACAAAATATCTTTCCAAAAAAATAAACAAAAGCTAACAAATTCTGAGGATAATAAAACTCACAAATTATTATTATATCTAAGAATAATTACGACCCATTTAAAGTAAAGTATTGCTACATAGTATATAATAATTACATAATAATAAATTAATTACTGTATAGCTTTATAAATCTAAGGTACGTTACAAAATTGAACGTTATTAAAATTTGTGAAAATGTGCAGTCGTTTTTAAGTAATAATTGCATATTAAAAAAATCCTAATACATTAAAATATATAATAAAATTAATCAATAATTAATGACGGAATGATCAATATTGGGTGGGTAAGACACTCATTTTTTCAGAAACTATTGAATGTTTTATTTTTGTAAAGAACAATTATGTTTTTTGTTGTAATTTTTTTGTTACATATTTTGTTAAGTGATATTTTAACTCAATATATTTTATATATAAATAGGTTCTTATTTAAGAAAATTATAGTGAAAAGTTTTTAACCCTAAAGCGATGAAAAAATGTTTTAACTCCTTAATATTGCAGTTAATCCAAACCATTTTCGTCTTCAGTTTTCAAATCTTTAAATAAAAAATAAAAGTTTCTGAGAAAATAAATGTTTTGTCCAAAATTGATCACCTATAGAAGCTTTTAATTGATTAATTGTATTATTTTATTTATACAAATATGTAAGTATTATCACATATTTAAAATACACTCCATTTATCGGCATAACCTTAAAACACATTTATGCAACCCATAGTCATTTCTTATTCCATGACAACTAATAATATTTAGCACCTCCACAGAGTATAATAGAACATCATAATTTTCAACTCCTTAAATAATTTAATTTTTTGTCAGTAATTTAAATTGTTCTTTAATAATTTATCATAATAATAAAAATAATTGATTTTAACTTATTACTGAAAAAAATTTTTAAAATTCTGCGATTTAAAAAAAAATTGTTAAGCAGTTTTATTGTTACCTTCTATCATTTTTCCGAAGAATTAAACTAATATTGTAGTTGTATAATAAAATCTTAATTATTTTCAATCGAAATAATTCTATATTTTAGTAATGATAGAATAGTTAAATTATTATTATTATTATTATTAAGTTATTAAAAAAATTTTAGATAACATATGTTATCACTTGGAGGTGCTTTTTGTGAGGATTGCGTTTATTGTTAATATTTGCTTCTTTTCTCCATTTGTGAACCATCTTAAAACTAGGTACTGCTGGTGCATTCCATTCTTCTTCGCTACCTGTATGTATTATATTCATATATTTAACATATATTATATATACGATAATATGTTTATACCTATGCATCTCGTATCACGTTAATGTTTCGCCGCCGCGTGCCGTACATATATACAAATCATATTGTATCTAGATTACTCACATGTATATGTTTTAATATCAATAAATAAATATTGTTTTATTTTACCAGGCCGCGATTAATTCCTTTTATTATATATTTTTGTCTGATTAAGACGTTGTACTTTGTTGATTCATTATTAATCGAACGGGCTTCCACAGTTAGTACAATGATTAAGTAAACTGATAAATGCCGCTAACACAAAGAGATGATGAAGCCTACACGAGCACAGTTTTTGTTTTGTTTTGTAGGATGCTCAAAAATGTCTGCTGAAAGCTAAGACACCTCCGTGGTGTGTGCTCAATAATATGCAACAAACTCAACAGCACTTTTCTTCTTCAGAATACGAGTTACAACAGCAACAGCCACAATATCTTGGCAAACATGATGCAGCTGTCAAATATATGCAACAACTTGGATTGCATAAACAAAATATAAAAGTTGATTCTGAAGTAAAATATTATTTATAAATTCTTTTAAAATTTTGACCATTATTTTATTTATATAATTAAATTTTAGATCAGACCTTGTCTTGTTGCTGAAAATGTGATTAGTGATCAAAATAGTAGTTGTGGTAGCCCACCATTATCAATTGTTGTAAATGGAGATGAACAACATGGTTCAAGTACTCCAGTACCTTCTTCAGCCTCTATATCACGATCCAAACCACAAGCTTGTCGTATTTGTGGACGTGTTCTTGCTTCTACTTCTTCATATTATGTTCATCTAAAATCACATTCAAATAATAAGCCTTATCGTTGTACACAGTGTGAAGCATGTTTTTGTCGTAAACCTTACTTAGAAGTAAGTGTGATAGAACAATCATTTTGAATTAATCATTAATAAATTATTAATGTAATTTTTAAAAATTTCATACTTACTAATTAACATAACATTTATTAGGTACATATGAGAACTCACACTGGTGAAAGACCATACCAATGTAATTTATGTCTTAAAAAATTCTCTCAAAAAAGCAGTCTTAATATTCATAAAAGAGTTCATACAGGCGAACGTCCATATTCTTGTGACATTTGCAAGAAAACTTTTGCTGTTAAAAGTTATGTCGTTTCTCATAAGTGAGTCATCATTTTAATCAGATTTTGTCTTTTATATACTCAAAATTATTTTATAAATACTTATTTGTATTTCAAACCACTATTTTAAAATCAGGTGGAGTCATATGACTGAAAAACCGTTTGTTTGTGAACAATGTCAACTGTCATTTAATTCTAAGATCCAATTTGTTACCCATATTAGATCTCATGATTTGGGACCTGCACACTGTTGTCAGTTTTGTGGAAAAGCATTCGTGAAGGGATGTTTTTTAGTTAGGCATATTAATAAAGTGCACCGTTTCAATGTTGCTGCAGCTACAGCAGCAAATGACCACGAACCTGTACACAGTTCCTATATGCAATCTGACACTAACTATTCTAGCATACGGTAATTAAATCTTTCAATAATTAGTTTGTTTGAATAATTAATGAATTCAGTTAGGGGAGAGGATAATTTTACTTAAAACTAATTTACTTACTAGAATTATTATTACACTTTTCAGGAATAGAAAAAAGCATACTTGTTTTTAATAATTTAATTTAGTGGATAGATAGCAAATATTTTAAATAAAAAAATTAAACTATAAGATCTGTTAAAGTGTTCTTGGTACCTCTATTATATAGAAAATAACTTTCTATTTCATATTTATGCTTATTATTGTTTGAAATTTTTTTTAAATTTAACTTTTGTTTTCGTGTACAGCTTTGATCCTCGAGAAATCAGCATACTACCAACTACTAAAAATGGTCCCCGTTTCTTAGGACCTACTTCACATAGTTCAGATGTTCCACCTCCATTAACTCATCTAACACCAATGATGTTGGGTCCACCTCAAAATACTCGAGCATAAATTTTATGTATATAAAATAATATAAATAGTAGATTATTTATTTAAATAAATATAATAATTAAGAATTTTTTTAGTTTTATCAGCTTAATTTCAAAATAATGTTAGTTATTCTTGTATAATGGCATCATCTTTATTAATAAAACCTATTTATAATCAGCATTCTTTTCTTACTCAAAAGCTGTTTTATTTTTGTAATAATTAAATGTATAATTGAAAAATGACATTTTTTGTACTTCATATTGAATTAATACTAATTATTCAGATATTAATCAATAATTACTTTATTTTACAATCCAATTAAAAAACAGAATTTAATGTGTAAATTAATGTAAACATTTCTTTGATGCCAATTTATAAGGGATAAAATTAGAATATCATTTTTTTAACATTATTAAATCTTTTTAGAAGATATATAAGTTAATTTCACTTCCGAAAAAAATGTATGACTATATTTTGCCGATAAAATATTTATCACATAATCCTTATACAATTTATCTTTTTGATAATTCAATAGACGTCTACATAATTTATATTCTTGATTTATATTATATATGTTGTATATAATGTGTCTTTTTCTTGGTTATTTAAAGGAAAAAACTATTGTGGATGTTTTAGATTCACCCTTGACTATATTTTTAGAAACATAGAACAAACAATAACTAAGAATAAATTGTAGTTAAATAATATTTTATTAGAATGTACTAAAATCTGTTATATTTAACATTAATTAATAGTTTTTTTTTTTTAAGTAAATTTTTCTTTCAAGTTTATATATTGATATACTTAAACTTCATTATTGAACTGAAATTTTGTTTTGCTGGTACAGAATGTTTTAAGAAACCGAATAGCAATATATATTTATGTACACTTTTTGTTACATATATGCTGAAGAATAGTAAACAAATATTGTGATTCTAATATTTAGGGTATTCTTACACATTTTTTATAAGTGAAGTTTCTAAGATTTCTGATATTAGATTAACTGTATTTTATTATACTTAATAATTTTGCTTTGTATATTTATTACAAAAATTAACAAATTATTCATCATGATTATTTTTACTGTCTGTAAGTTTTTTCCTAGTGATATAAACTCATATAAAAATGATTTTTTTATTTTTTGTTGAAATTTGTAATTTTAGTTATCAAAAGTACTCTATAAACTATGGGGAGAAATACATATAATTTTACTTATCACCTTAGTTACAAAAATATCCTGATGCCACATCAAGCCATTTAAATGGTAGTATGTTGTGATTTATATTTTCTATGGCCTAGGTGCTATCATGTAAAATAGATGCACTTAGTGTGATGCCAAATTTAAGGTAAACTGCTGAAGTATTTTTAAAAAGAAAATTTATATGCTATTAGTTTACAATTAAGAACTTTTGACACTTTTTTGTGTAAAATTATGATTTTTAAAAGTTTTCTTTTAAAATGCAAAATAATTGATAGCATCACTTAAAGTGCACATATTAGAATATACTGTATAAGTTTTCATAAATGATAATTGGTTTCCTTAGTTTATTATGCGATTTAATGTATTTTAATGTTTATATAATATATTTTATAAATAAACAAATAGCATTTACTACCAAATGTAGCTATAATATTTTGATACTAGAATAAAAATATTAATTTTAAGACAAAAAAAGGGAAATCCTTTTAATAGACTTTGGTAGACTGAAATTAATTTTCACAAAAATATTGGTTTTTTGTTAACTATATGTAAGTTATAAAATAAAATTTGATTGTAAAATATTTCTGCAATATGAACAAATGTATGTTTTTATGACAGTAAATTAGATTTATAAATAAAATTACCCACATCTTATGTTTATTTATTACTTTTGTAAAAAATTATAATGCTTAATTGGTTAAAATTTTATCTACCACTCGCATTCTGAATTATTAGATTGTTATAATTATATAGATATGAAGTATATTGTACTTGGTAATAAATTTTTTTATGTCCTTAGAATGAAAAGGTTTCTTTTTATTTAATATTATTTAATATTGTACAACAGAAATGGCAACTTAAAAAATAAATTATCATATAAAATGTGTATACATGTATATTCACAATTTTATTTTTTATTTGTATGTTAATCAATTTTATTACATACACCATATTCATTTGGCCGTACTCTTAAAACAACTGGAACACTAGTACATGGTAAAATTGCAATCTCAGTAACTACTGCAGTTATTAAATCAGTAGTTGTGACATCATATCTTAAACTTAATGGTGTTAAATAGCGGTTATTGAACCATTGTTCTTTGGGCATTAATTCATCCTCATTTCCTACAATTTATAAAAAATTTATTTACAGAAAATTTAAATAAAAAATAGTACTGATCATACCAAGTTCATTAAACACAATTGAATCAGTTTGTACACGATCTGTGAACTTATATGTTTCACAGCACACCAAAACAGGCACATTAAAATGTTTGGCTATTAATGCTACTTGGGAACTACCTGCTCTTCCCATGACATAACCATTAGCTAATAGAGCATGTGCGCCAAGTAATACTTTGGTTGCTCGTGTCATGATAAAGCTAGTAGCTGATAAGAGGACATATGTACACTGTATATTTTGAGCAACAAGCCTATGTAAAAGTTGGCGACCTTCATACCATGGAGCAGAATCTACTACAATAACACTAAATTGTTTTTTTTTATAGTATGCTTCTTTAAGTATGAGCTCGATAAGGGATGAACTAAAAACAGAAAAAATTTATAATGGTTTAGTTTCAATGAATACTACTTAGAAACTTACAAGCCATAAGTAAGTATAACATCACCATTAGCAATTTTATTTTGAGCTGCTATACATATTGCTTTACCAGCCATTTTAATTTGAACTTCAATAAAATTACTGATAATATCTTCAACTTTTTCCTTGGCCTATAAAATTTGAATAAACTATTAATTATAAATATTTAATAAACTATTTCAAATTGTGATGGTAAAATCAATTTACAATAACTTCAGTGGTATTGTTAGGTAGTCGTTTGATATGCCACATAATATGTTTGTAAGCATTAGTCATTGATACAGAAAATGGTCTACATGCCATGAGATATTCAACAATAGGTGACAAGTATTCCTCGAGAGCTCGAGATATTTGTTTGTATTCAGGTGTTACAAAATCAGTCACTGTCTATAAAAAATATATATAAAATCTTACTTTAAATAAATAGATTACTTAATGAAGATTACATATAATTTTTTAGTGTAAACCTATTTTATGTTCATAAATTTCTTTTAAAATAATTTCCAAACAAAAATCACTTGGTTATTTATTAATAATATTTAGTAACTTAAGACATTCTTCATTATCACCTTAGCCTCTAACTGAACTATTTGGAGTTAGTTTTACCCAACAATTTGACAAGATTTTAATACCAGCTGTTGTCATGATGCAACCTTATTATGACTGAGGAAGCTAGTAACTTAAGACATTAGAATAAAAATTATAAAATTATTAACTAACTTGTTTAAGAGCATTTAGAAAAGCTAGACATCTAGAATTAGATCCAGTAATTGTATTAGTTCTAAACTGAACACCAAGTTTTATAAAAGCAGGGTGAATTTTACTTGAGCTTTTTCTATAAAAATATAAAATACAAATAATTTATACAAAATAAAAACAACTTAAATAATTAATAAGATTGATATTATTTTTTATAAATACTTTACAGCAATAATTTTTCTGGTGTCAAAGACAATGAATCAATGTACAAATGATTAAAAAGTTTGACTTTATGTGGATTGACTACAATAGGTTTTTTTATACCACTGGTATCTTTATGAATTACTGATTGTGTAACCTAAAAAAACTTTTTGTCTTAAGTAAATTAGAAAATATTAAATAATGAAAGTATTAAATATACAATTATTGATATAAATAAAATATAATCAATTTAATACGAAAGGAAATGTATTAAAATTAATCCACCATTAAAATGTATAAACTTTAAATAAATAAGAAAAATACATTTAATCATCACAAATTAAACCTTCTCACAAAAATTAAAAAAAAAAAATGAACATTTTGTATTTATATAAATATAGAGTGTTTAATAAGTAAGGAAACAGGTCAATTGTTACAAATAATGGGAACAATAGAAACCTATGATATGAACATTATTATAACTCAAATAGTACTTGTTCTGAAATTGATATTAACCCATCAAAATTTTTTATAAGAATAGAGCAAAAAAAATTTAATTTGAAATTTTGAAAAAAAAAATTAACTTTTCTTTTTTTTTTTTTTATTGATAAATAATAAAAGTAGTCTAAGAAAGCAATAATTATTTTTAAAAAGATTTTAACAAAATGACAATTGTATCAAAAGTTATAAGCATTATCAGATAAGTTTAAGACACCAATATACATAACAAAAAGAAAAAATACCATAAAATTTGACAAAAAAAAAAAATTTATAATAAAATATCAGCTATAAAAGATAAAACAATTACTTTTAATAATAATTTTTTTATTAAATCTTACCGTTTTAACAGATACGATATTTTCTTTCTTTTTAAGGTTTAATGGTATTATTGTTACAATTTTTTGTGCTTGTTTTTTGGAATTTTTCACATTTTCCTTAAAAAAATATATACATAGTAATAATCAAGTTAAAATTGATCTAACAAAAATAAACATAAAATTCTTTAAAAAATGACTTAAATCATGGTAATTTACCACCAATTTGCAGTAATAACTACATAATAATTATGATAATTATTAAATTTAATAAATCTATTATAATTATAATGTATATGTACATAATAATTGATAGAATTCTCAAACACTAACATGTTATGTTTTAATTAGAAAAATCAAAACTATGTTTTTTTTTTAATTCAGTCATTCGAAAAAGTTTTATGTATTGCAAAAAAATAATTGTAGAACTATAAAAACACTTTGTTCTGATAGTTATACATGGAAAAAAATTTAACCATGTACACATGGCTATTACACCTATCAAAAACTATTTATTTAGAAACTTTTATTAGAAATTTTTTTTTTGTATAAAGAGAATATTATAACATCTACAAATACAATTAAGTCCGATCTTTAAAAAAACACATATAGTTGTAGATATTATATTTTTAATATCAAATTTAAGTACTGCTCTACATTTATAATATTGTAATAATTAATAATGAATAATTAAATTTAAGAAATAATTTATATTACTTTTGTTATCATCATAGACAAAGTTTGAAAAAAGTTTTGGGAGCTAATTTTATTACAAAGTCGGTTGACTCTTCTTTATAAATATTTTTTAAAAACTTTCACTTTTAATTTTTCTAAACTTGGTTTCCCAAACTCCCATCAAACTTAGTGTATAATTATCATAGATATTAATTATAAAAAAAAAAAAATTACTAAGTCATTTAAACACTTACTGTGTTAGATGTTTTAGGAGTTTTATTAGAATTATTTAATACTTCTACATTGTCTACTGAAATTGTTACTTTAGATTTTTGAGTAATGTCAGAAGTTTTATCATTTTTTTGTTTCTCTAAAGCCAACTTTTTTCTTTCTTGTTTGGCTAATCGTTTAGCTTTACGCTCAGCCTCTACTTCTTCTCTAGTTTTTTCTTCTATTTGTACCTTTTCCATTTAAATTCTATGAAAAAACATTTATTGCAAATATTTTAAACTATAATATATATACATAAATAAAATGTTTCATAATTATTTAATCTAATCAACAAATAGATGTCATTTTTTAAATTAAGTCATAGTTCTAAATACCGAATATTAAATGTAAAGTAACTACATACATTTTTCTTTTCCAAAATACTGATAATAAAAAAAACCTTTGAAACAATTAAATTTGTATAATACAATAACTATTAAAATTTAAACTTAAATTAAACAGTTAATAATCATAAATTTCAATGTTAAATGTACATACATTTTTGATATTTCAATTGTTGATATATTAAATTGATATCATAATTTCAGATAATGATAACTCATATATTTAATTGTTACTTATCTTATCTTAACTTTATCTTATCTGTGGTATGGATATCTATGTATCAGATTTCAAGAGAAAAGATCTGTATTTCATTATTAAAGAAATACACGCAGGGACGACTGGTTGTTGTACAGAAAATGCCATTCCATCCCTAGAATTTTTCGTTTCGATAGCAAAATAACTAACGCATAACATACAGTCCTAACTACCAAGTCTTATAATTTTAATTTTTATTAATATAAAATAGATTATGCGGCAAAGAATTCTGAAAACCAGAATTATTATTTGAGGGATATAGATTGGACATGATCAGTGCATGGATAGGGGAAGTAAAATGTATTATCTGTTTATTTCTGGGCTTATTCTAAATAATTACAATAATAATTAACAATTAACTATCATTAATAATAAAGTTATTAATATTATAATCAGAGAAAATGTTTTTTCATGTTGAATACCTTTTTAAAATTCAAATAGAAATTTATAATTTTTTTTTTTTTTAATTTACTTTCCTATTATCTTTCTATAGTAACATTTTCATAAAAATATTTGGTTATCGCATGAATTTTACAAAGGAGTTTTCTCTAGACTATGGGGTATGAGGTTAAGCTGTAGTCATATATTTTTGCACCCCCTGGTAAATTTTTTGAGGGCGTCATCATGTCATATTATAATATCGAGTAATACTTTAATGAAAAACAGGAACCCAATTAAATTTTATTAGAGACCCTGCAACTATAGTTATGTTATTACTTAAAAAATAAATGAGAGGAAATTATGTCAGTATCATAATAAGTTAATATCTCACACTCAGATCTTTTATTATGATTTTTTGAAGAACAAGGTTCATTTATGTCAATAATATTTTGGATAAATATAGGAGTACTTTTTGGCTGGAGAATAGTTGTATTACTTAGTAAATACAACAAAATATCTAAAAATATTTTTATTTAATATTATTTTATATAAATTAAATGTACTAATACTGTGTAGATAATACGTCTACAAGAACCTTTAATTTCTTTTTCAGTTAGAATATCAGTTTCTGAAAAATTTTTTCACGCAAACAATCTTTTGCGGGACTCAAAATTCGTCCGCACAATTCATTATTATTCAATTATTATTATTCATTATTATATCATTCTTTATTATCTATTAGCTCAACGAGTAGTAGAATAGTAACCATGTATCAATAACCGTGGTTATGGCTTATTCTTTTTTAAGTTGTATACTGATGTTACAGTCATTTACCGTTATCGCAACTATCGCATTTAACTTCATCTTAATAAAAAATGTGATTGGGAAGATTAAATTATAAACATAAGTCCAACAGTGAATTTGCACTTTTCAAAAAAGTAATCGTTCTTGTTTATAATAAATATATTTAATTTTACCATTTCTTTTCACACATTTATTCAAGATGGTAAGCATTTATCTAGTTTCAATCCATTATTCTTAAATAATATTGCTGTAATATTTTAATATCTTTCTATTTGTTTTTTTACTGTGCTCTTATTTTAATTTACTCTTAATTGTACTATTGTTTGTAAGTCTTGCATCCTTTGGCTATTTTCATGTTTGTAGTATAATATACAAACTTACATGAATTTATTTTACAGTATATAAGTATGACCATTATTTAATTTTTATAGATTAATATTATTTCATAATTTTCCAGAGTATTATGGATTATAATGGTGGTGCTATTGTTGGAATGAAAGGCAAAGATTGTGTTGCTATTGCGACTGATAAGAGGTTTGGAATTCAAGCACAAACAGTATCACTTGATTTTACTGTATGTTCCTAAAAATAAATTTTCATATTGTCTGTATACTAATGATTTTATCACACTTGGTTATAGAAAGTTTTTCAAATAAATCCTCACACATTCATGGGATTTCCTGGATTAGCAACAGATGTTTTTACTGTTCATGAAAAAATTATGTTTAGAAAGAGATTATATGAATTAAAAGAAAATCGTAAAATATCACCTAAAGCATTGGCTTCTATAGTTTCAAATTTATTATATGAAAACAGGTAAAAAATTTAATTAACATTACTTTGTTTTTTATTTACTACACATATTTCCTCTTTTTAAGATTTTCTCCATTTTTTGTTGAACCAATGATTGTTGCATTAGATGAAGAAACTTTAGAGCCTTATATGTGTGATATGGATCTTATTGGATGTGTCAATAAATCAGATAATTTTGTAGTAGGTGGAACTAGTGCAACTCAATTATATGGTTTATGTGAAGCTTTATGGGAACCAGATATGGAAGAAAACCAACTTTTTGAAACTATATCACAAGCTCTTCTTAGTGCTTGCAATCGTGATGCCATTTCAGGATGGGGAGCAAAGGTTTATATTATGTAAGTATTCTTCGATTATAATAGTGAAATTGATAAAACAATTTTATTTTGTTGATTTCAAAAGAAATATATTTTTTTTTTCCCAGAAAGCCATTAAAGTAATATATGAAATATTGAAATGCATTACTAACATTTCTTTATTTTTATGTTCTAGCAAAAAAGACAAAATTATTGTACGTGATATCAAAACTCGAATGGATTAAAAAATTTAGAAATTACTAAATGTTTCATGTAATTTTTTTTTTTTTTTGTTATTTATAAACACAAATTCAATAAGTAAAATTAATATTGGTATAAAGCATTGAAAAATATATAATTCTTCTATGAAATATTGATTGTTTTTATTTATTAACTATCTAATTTTTATAATATTATGCAAAAATTTTTTCCTCTCGTCTCTTTTTGGGCATCATTACTGTACCCGGTTTGTGCTGTGCTTCAGGGTGATTAGCCAATTCAGGAGGACAATTTGACACAGGACTAGCCTGAATTACTTGCTTGAGATCATAGAATAATGGTGAATCATCTTTTGTTAAGAATGTTATTGCTACTCCAGTTTTTCCAGCACGGCCAGTACGTCCAATACGATGTGTATAATCTGAGATTAATAACATAGCCATCATGTTAGGTATATTAGACAAATAAATATTGTATTAGTATTTATAACTAGATCAAGTACAATTATTAATTTTGTATATGAAGCAAACTACATTTGTTTAGTGACAATAAGGATCATCATATAATTGGGCCAATTTTTAAAGCTTTACTGTAAAAAGACATCAGAAAAGTAACTTTACCATATTAAATAATTTCATTTAATTAATTTAAAATTTAAATTATTTTTTAAAAAATACTCAATTATGTACTTGATAATTGACTAAATCATTAATTTAAAAATACTTTTAAACATAAATATTACACAACAGAATTATCAATAAAATGGATTTCAAATTATTTAGATTAATAATTTTTAATTTATTATAATAATTACCTTCAATAGATTTAGCCATATCATAATTTATTACCATTGAAACATCTTTAATATCGATACCACGTCCAACAACATCAGTTGCAACTAATATATCTTTTTGTCCACCCTTTAGACTAGCCAAAGCAAATTCACGCTGTTCTTGTCCTTTTCCTCCATGAAGGGTACAAGCATTATACTAAAAATATTTTCAAATGAAAAGGTTATTAAACCATAAAAACAAAAAACTTACACCAAGTTTTTCCAAGCCCTTAGCCAAAACATCGGCACCTTTTTTCTGGTTTACAAATATTATAATTGGAGGTTCAACTCCGCGACTTAATATTTCAACTAGTCTCTTACGCTTGTCATTTTCACTCATCATATGAACTATTTGTTCAGTACGTTCAACGGGTTTACCAATAGAACCTATATATACAACAGCTGGTCTTCGTAAATAAGTTCTAGCTAATCTCTCTACTGCAGGGGGCATAGTAGCAGTAAACATAACAGTCTTAAAAATAAACATATTTTTGTAAGTACACAAGAGCATATTACAAAATTTATATTATCATACTTGTCTGTATTTTTTTTTTGAATAATAGTTAGCTAATAATTTAGATTCATCTTCAGCATCTTCATTGTCAGGTTTTAAATTAGTAACAGGCATGTACTCTAAAATTTTTTGTACGTCTGGCTCAAATCCCATATCAATCATACGATCAGCTTCATCTAACACTATATATGTACACTGATTCAAAACCAAATATCTATTTTCTAAAACATCAATCAAACGACCAGGCGTTGCGATAACGATCTAGAAAAAAAGATTAGCTTTAATTAAAATGAAAAATAGTATTTATTTTTAAATCAGCTTAAAGACAAAATTTATAAAGATTATAAACATAGGAGATATTTTACCGAGAACGACAAAATATTCTGTAGTTTTCTTAGATATTTGGTGATAGAGATAATGATCATTTTTAAATTAATACATTACCTCACACCCTAATCTCAATCTAAAACCTTGTTCTTCTCTTGATAAACCACCCACAACAACAACAGTTCGAATCCCTAATGGTTGCCCAAATTTCAAAGTTTCTTCTTCTATTTGTTGAGCTAACTCACGAGTAGGAGCCAATATAATTGAATAAGGACCCTATAAATAGAAATTAAAAAATAAACAGTATAAATAAAACAAATCAGTTGAAATTTACCAAAAATTACAATCTTACCTGATCTACATCTTCCATACGTTCCATTTTTGGCAAGGACTGTATCCAAGCTATAAGTGGTATAAGATAGGCTAAGGTTTTACCAGAACCAGTTTCAGCAACACCGATAATATCTCTGTTCTATAAAATAAAATTTTACAAAAATTCAATAATTTGAATAGTTATTAATATAATTAAGTAAATAATTTAAGATATTGACAGCATTTTGTAAAACTTGTGTACCACAAAAGTAAAATTGTAAAAGTCACTGCATCTTAATATAGGAATTAATATTGTTCAAATTTATAATTTGAAAAAAGTACTTTTCATTTTTGAAGAATACACCAATTTTACATAATACTTTCAATATATAATTCATAATAAACAAAAATTACTTGGAAACCAATAGGAATAGCTTGCCTTTGAATCGGTGTTGGTTCTTTATAGCCAACTTTTTCTATTATATCCATAATTTCACTTTTAATTGATGATTCTTTCCATTTACGTATTGGTTCAGGTATTTTACCACCTAAATTACACAGTATATTATCAACAGATATAAAAATTAAAATTAAAATATATGTATCACCCTTTATAGTTATGTTATAGTCTTCTCTGAATATTCTCCAATCTCTTTCAGTCATTTCATCTACTTCTTTTTCAGACCAATGTCGATCGTCCCATTTTTGTTTATCTTCTTTTCTCTTTACTTTCTTTAATCTAACTTTTTCTTGTTCCTTTTCAGCTTCAGTTCTCCGTTTTTCCATGAGTTCTCCATAAAATTTTGATTGATCTTTTTTTTGAGCTTTTATATCAATACCTGCAATATTACCCCGACCAAAGAACTGTACTTGATGACGTTCTTTGTACAAAGCATTATAATCAATTGATGTATCTTCTGAAGCATCCCAATCAAATACAAATTTTCTATCATTTAAACGCCTTACACGGCGTTTTTTTTTTGTTAAACCTAAATATCGTTCTTTAATAGCTTCTTGTTCTTTCTCTTTATCTTTAGAAATTTCTTTATCTTCAGGCTCTTCTTTCTTTTCTCTTTTTCTATCTCTATCCCGACGATCATGGTCTCTATCTCTATCACGATCACGATCTCTATCCCTATGATGGTCTCTATCCCTATCACTAAAAAATTTTCAAATATTAATATCCCTTAAAAGAAAAATTTTATAAATAATTGAATTATTAATTTAAACTAGTATATTAGTAGTTACCGATCATCTCTATGACTATGACCCTCAGCCTGGTGTAAAAATTCAGAACGTTTTTTTCGCTCTTCTTCCTGTTTTTTTCGTATCAACTCAACTTCTTCTTGTCTTTTTTTTAAAGCTTCAGCAGCTCGTTGTTCTTTAGTTAAAAATACAGGCTAAAATAATAAAATATAAATAAAACCCATAATTATTTGTTCACATAATACAAATTTAGCATATTATTAATGATATGTACAAATATATCCATGAAAGCTTTAACACATTCAAATTTTTCATAATTGAAATTTAAAAGTCTTAGAATTAAGAGTCTATAAATGACTGTGACTTAAGAATACAGTAAATAATTCAATTTATATTATTCATATTTGCACAACAAAAAATAAAAGTATAATAAACATTATAAACATTTGGTTTCAATTATTAATGAAACAAAAACATTTATCACAGATTTAATTTGGTCTTCATTCAAATCATAATACATGTAAATTTCAATTATTTTTTAGAAGGCAGTACATTTATTTTATGAAATATCTCACAAATCTAAATAAGAGAAACTAAATCAAAGTTAATTATACCTTTAATAGAGGCTAGTGATTGGATTTCAACAGAAAAATGTTATAATTAGTAATTTATTCAAGGTTAGCAAATAATAATTCCACTTATTATTTTGAAAATACAAACATTTGATACTATTAAAATGTAAATCTAAATATTTTTTTTCAATGCTGTTAATTAAGTTTTATAAATTTTAATATTACTTTGCTCCTTGCTAATTCTTCTGCTTTTTTCTTAGCCAACAACTCTTCCAAAGATAAAGGTTCTTTTTTTTCAACTTTAGATGATTTATCATCTTTAGGAGTAGAATTTGATGATAGACTTTTATTTTTCTCCATAGTTTATTTTTGAGTCACTTAATTATTTTATCATAAAATACTTAAGATTTTCACTAAAAAATAAACACAATAAAAATACAAATGAATATATTTTATAAAACAAATAATTATTCATCAACACACTGCATAAAAATATTATTCTTGAACATTTTTAACATGAAATATTTCAAATTAATATGGTGCTGTACACTAAAAGCCGCATTGCTAATACCGATAATGTTATCTTTAACTGTTCATTCACTCATTTCACTGCCACAACCAAACAGTTTGAGCACTTTTAAAATAATTTTAATGATGTTTTGTACATAGCACCATGATGTAGAGAAGACACCTTCTGCAAATAATGAACATAGAGTACTAGAAAATATTTCTAATTTTATATGATTATAAAAATAAATAAGATCAATTCTGTGTAATTTTTTTGTAACATTAATGTATCCATATTTAATTTTCAAATTATCGATGCTAATTAATAAAGCAATAAATGTATAAACATCAATATATTGAGGAAAAAATTGATATTTGTATAAAATTTATAAAATTATTAAAAAAATTAAAAGAATGAATATAATTTGTAATAACAAAAAGAAAGAAGTTATACAGTGAGATATAGATATTTAAGAGTATGGTTCATAAAGAGGGATAGATCTCGCTTATTACTTAATATTTGTCGTTAGTGTGTTAAAACTACTCTTACCTGATATTCACTGATAATGATAGAATCTCGGCTGGTGACTTGTAGTAGTTGGAAGCGTTTATTTAAATTATAGGAGGTATGTTAATAAGAAGAGAATTATTTGTGAATTATAGAAGTGTATTTATTTCTAAGCAAAGTGTTAATTATTTTAACAAATGTAAGTTTTAAACTATGTGAAAGAAATTAAGTTAAAGACTAAAGAAGCCCACGCAAAGAATACACTAAGAGTATAACATAATATGGAATATTGTGAGACAGTAACGTGTGAAAAGAGATAAGTAAGAGGATAAACAGGGTTTTCAACCCGTATATAATATGCCGCGGCCGGCATAAATGGGGATTGAGCGTCTCGAATATGTCATACATTTATATGGACGCATGTCATTAGTCCGTAGTCCACGATTTTCATCAACTAAAGTTTTTACTATTATTTTTCTTATTTAGTACTTTTGTAGTGCCTTGAAGACGCTAATAAAAACAGTGATTCATAGCTACTATATTATTGCAAANTTGTAGTTTGCTAATAAAAACAGTGATTCATAGCTACTATATTATTGCAAAAGCCAAAAATTAAATGTGTTATTGTATTAGTGTATTCTTATNGAAGACGCTAATAAAAACAGTGATTCATAGCTACTATATTATTGCAAAAGCCAAAAATTAAATGTGTTATTGTATTAGTGTATTCTTATATGTGACCTGAGAAATACAAAAGTTGGTGAATATTCTAACTTAGTTATATTACGCGTATTATAACTACCTTACTGTAGGAATAAAAATTGTATGGAATTATTAGCAGTTAGTGACTGCTGTTAACTACCAAATAAATTAATAATATTCAATACAAACCATGTATTATAAAATCATTCTTAGTGTTAGAATTAAATTTTTATGATGTAAGATTTTAGCTTCAATGCAAGCTGAGAAAGTATTGGTTTTTGTGATGGTGTATATATTTGTTTAAGTTTGTCTATGAAAATTCTGAGTTCACCTTAGTCTGATTTTATGGTCAATACGTTAAAAAAACATGTATTTTGCATTCAAATATAGTTTAACTTATCGTCACCGAAAATTGAAAAAAATCTTCTATTTTAAAATTACGTTATGTAAAAATTAACGTGTTCAATATTTTTTTTGCATTTAAAACAGCTATTATTTTTTTAAAAATTCTGACATTTTAATAAGATGTACTAAAGTTAATAAACTTTATTTTGGTGTGCTTTTCATGAAAATTCAGCAAAAAGTACAGGATAGGTTTGAAATAAACCACCTCCATACGCCTTTCAAAAATTGTTTCTCAACTCATTTTTTGAAAATATTCCGGAACGTCTATTTTAATATAATACTATTTTTGGGTTACAATTCTCGATTTTGTATTTTATATTTTTAACTTTATATTGTTATATTAAAAATGTGTGAATTAATAGAATTTTGTCTAAAAATACATATACAAGTCCCTTCTATTTAACATACTTATTTGATAATATAACTCCTTCTCCTTAACCAACGCCAAAAAAAAATGTTATTTAAAACTTTCATTGGGCAATTTTTTTTTCAACTTAAATTTAATATTGTTATTACTTTTTAAAAAATATTTTATTTTTATTTTATAGTACTGTGTACGGGAAGGTTAGTGTCATGGAGTCACAGATTTTTATAGATGTTCATAACAGAATCTAATCAGCATTGAATATAAATTAAACTTATTTTGAATTTTTTGTCAATGTTATCCTTAGGTCGTGGAAAATGACTTTGAAAATTTGTATAACTTAAATTTTTTTTTTTTATCTTCTTATAAGTGCAGTGTACAATTACTGGATCAGTATCTTGTGTATCACAAGCGCTTAAAGAATAGGATTTAAAATCTTAAAAATTGATCAATCATTTATAGAATATATATATTATATATATAATATATATATTCAATCTCTTTTACCATTCCTAAAAGCTGTATGTAAAATCTAAAAATCGAGACAAGCACGTCATACAAGTAACATTAAATATTTTAGTTAATTAACATTTTTGGGATTTACTATTATTATTTGAAATGAAATAAGAAATAAAAATTGTTCAACAAATTGAAATTTTAATGGGGTGTGCTATTCTTCCACATTTGCGCTCTTTTAACATAATGTTAATATTTGACTATAAGTGAAGACAATATTTTGAATAGTTGAATAAAAATAAATTTTAATGATGTCAATTTAATTAACGAAGATAAAAAGTTGAAGGCACATTGATTATCTATATCTGTCGTTGAATGTGTGATAATAAAAGATAACAAAATTTTTAGCTAAACAATTGCTATTTGTAACCGTTTTAACATTTTTCAAGAGATAAATTATCTGGTCTCACTGATAATTTATGATAAAATTTTATAAAAGATAAGTCAACTATCATATTTCTTTATTAAATTTTAATTCATATTAATGGTATGTTAAGCAGTATGCCAATTATGATTTTTTACGCATTATAAAACATGATTGGACAATAACTATTTTTTCCCAAGTTATAATTTATATACAGCTGTACAGTATCCATTCTTAAAATAATGTACTTAAGCAATAATCAAGTATTCCACGTAGTATAAAATTTTTTTGAACTACCACTAATTTAAGTGTTTTTAATTTTTTATCAATATGGAAGATATATATGTAAGCTTTATGCGCTCTATTAATAATATTTTTTCTTTAATATAATGTAAGAAGTTATTATTGTATTTATAGGTTTTATTCAGGGTCATGAGTAGAGGTATGTTGGATAGTTTCAAAGGAATTGCTGTTCTTTTCGTACCTAACAAACGCTCAAAAAAAATAGTCAGACCAGTTAATTTTCCTAAGTATGAAGTTAAAAAAAACTACCAAATAATAAATTACTATAGAGCTATTAAATTTATCTTTAATATTCTATTTATATCATTACTTCTAATGTATCTATTAATTTAAGTTATAATATTTACCATTAATTATATTTAGAAGTTAAAACTGTTGTATAATACAGTATCTTTACTGAAAATTGATAATTTTACTAGCTAAAAATGTTGAAATGTGTTGGATGTATTTTTAAGTGATACCAAAACAAAATCTAATTTGAACTAATTGATACTTTAATCATAATTAAGGATTAAGATCTGAATGTATTTAAAATATCAGTTTATTTTATATTTTAATTTTTAGTAATTAAATTTATAAATCGCTTTATAAAATTATAAGAGTGTAAATTCAGTATTTTTGTTAAGTAATATTTTTAAAAATATAATAATTTTAATTATGATGTCTATCCATGTAAAGATTTTTATTTTAGGGATCAAAAAATGCTACAGCGTATTATTCAATGTTGTACTTTAAATGGAGGAATTTTTTGTCTCAGTATTTTGATTTTTGAGTACATTATATTACCAGTTTTAGATTATGTTTTGACTGTAGCATTTGGAAATTTAAACCAAGATATTTGGTATTGGACTCGTTCATTATTATCATGGACATTTGGTGCAGTTTGGGTCTTGCCCATATTTCTAATCAGCAAAATTATTAATAGTCTATGGTTTCAAGTAGGTTTTAACTTTATTAATTTCAATTGATAAATTATTCATAATATTTTTTAGGATATAGCGGATATTGCATTTCAGCAAAAAAAAGGAGAACCACAAAAACTAACTAAAATTAGTAAAGTTATAGCTGATTTTTCATTTAGTCTTATTGTTCAATTTTTATTTCTTATTCAAGCAAGTAGTATTTTTATTAGATGTTTTTGTTTTGTAAATTTAAAAAATATATTTTTTTTTATAGAGTTATCTTGTAAGTATGGTACCATCAAAAGTTGTGAGTAATGTTTTGGGTATATTGCATTTATCATTATTGTACTCATTATATTCATTTGAGTATAAATGGTGTAATATGGGAATAGAATTGAATTCTAGATTATCTATTATTGAAAACTGTTGGCCATATTTTCTTGGATTTGGATTTCCCTTAGCAATCATTACATCAATGCCAGAATCATACATTATTAGGTAAGCAACGTAACAAAATTTTTTAACAACTTTAAGAGTGTAGTGATAGTGATTTTAATCACTATTAGGTTTTATACATACTGGGTCCTGTTTATTGTATCAGTTGTATAAAAAAATTGTTTTTTATCCATAGTATCCATTGTTAAATTTGTGCTATTTACTTGATAAACTTAATTTTACATAATTATCAATTAAATATTTTAGATGGATAGATAAAATAATTTTAATGTAGTAAACATTAACAAATATGAAATATTTTTAAATTGTTAACTTTTATCAGCTGACTTGTATATTTTTAGTGGTTGTTTGTTTTCAATATTGTTTCCTGTATTTATTATCAGTGCTAATGAAATTAGTCCATCTAAAACCAAAGTGTTCAGGTTTGTTATTGTTTTTAATATATTATTAATTAATTGTTAATTTTTTTTTTTATTTTAGATTAAAACTTTTTGCACCAGTGCTATATATAACTAGTACTATATTCAATCGCTCAATTAGACCAACAATGAAGAAAACAAAATAATTTTCAAGGGTTCAAGTAAATAAAAAATAAGTGTAATGTTATTTTTATAGTTAAAATAACCAATCGGTTAGTTTTCTCAACTTGTGTTAATTGAGTTTTTTTTTATTATATTATAATGTCATATAAGGCTGTGTTGTTTATAAATATATGTAATGTTTTTACTTATAATAGTCTTTATGTCATAAATATTTAATTGAGTTAATGAATATAAATAAATTAATCTATTCTTTTTTAAACTGAGATAAACCAATTAGGTGTGTCTCATTCCCTCTCACTTCTAACTATTAACAGATTTAGGCTATGTGTTGAATAAAAATGGTCTTATCAATATAAACAAAATTAATTAGAAAATTGAAATTGTATGTTATAATTTATTCGAGAATTATTTTATGTATGTTGAAAAACTCATTGTTGCCAAAACATTGATGTTTATTTTTATTATATAGGAATAAATTACTGTAAATTAAGATTTTCTAATAAATATAACTCTTCACCACAAGTTAAAAATATACCTTATACATATAATAACAAATAAAATCATTTAATATTTATTACAACATATATCAGTCAAAATTAACAAACCATTGGTGTTTAAAAAATTCCTTAAAAAAATACTATAAACTACCAATTTAGACTATCATATCCTTACATTTGAAAATTATTAATATGGATTTAAATATTTTGATTTTTGTACAAATATATTTACTTAATTAAAAATAATAATTATTATTAGACTTAAACTTGAATAATGAATAAATTAAAAAAACTTTAATTTCAAGGTATAAGTTACTACAATATTAATTTTTTTTTTCTTATGGTAAATGTATTAAAACCTTTATATGCATTCTAAAAACTGTATTAAATGTAGAGATGGTTGATTTGAATTTTGATTATAAATACTTATTGAAATTATATAAATTAAAATTGAATATGTGTAGAGCAAAGTTAATATTTTGTACAAATATATCATATATTAAAAAAAAAGAGAATGTTTAACAACTTGGTTATTACAAATTACAGTATTAAAACCACTTAGTATTAATTGTTGATTAAATAACATCAATGAAATATTACATTTTGCTGAAATTTCTAAAAAATATTACAAAAAAATATAAGCTATTTAAATGGTAACAAGCCCAATATAGAACAATAAAAGTTGATTGTCAATAACAAAGTAATACACATTCAAGTTAACTATATGAAAAACAGAGATTTGAAAAATTATCACAAAAAGTTAAATATACTGTATAAAAGATAATTTATCACAATAAAATATGGCTAGTCCTTTAAAATAATATAAAATTTTAATCTTTCAAATAAAGATATGAAAAATAAATGTCTAGGCACTATTGGTTAATGCAAATTTAATGTATGTAATATAAATAAAAATACAAAAAATTTTTGAAAGACTAATAAATAAATTAAAAACTAAAAATATAAATCGATCAGTCTTATAAGATCGAAACTTTGTAAGTTATTAAAATATACTTTTCAAATGTATTATATGTAGAATGTAGATACTAATTATTGCCCTAAATTACATCTTTTCAAGATTTATATAATTATACTATTTAATAATTTAAATAATAATAATAATAGCACTTTGATCAACAGGATAAATTTATTGTTTTAACTCAACTTTTAAATTTTGGTTGTATTCTAAGCTATGAAGTTTATTTTCATAATCTTTGAGTAGTTCAGATTTTTTCTGTAATAATAAAAAAAAAAGGTTTAAATTGAAAAAAAGAAATGTAATAAAGAAATTCAGCCCTTACATTAGTCTTGAGATCATCATAATTTTTCCTAATTTCTTCGTGCTGTTTTTCTAACTCTTCAGTTTTTTTTTCATATAATTGTGCCAATCTTAGTCGTTCATTTACACCTTTCTCTACCATTGAACTGGATACTTCTCTTTTCATTCTGTTGAATAATTTTACTTTAGTAGTTAACATAAAAAAAATATTTAAATTCTTACCTTCCAATTTCATCTTTATCTTTATGAATTTTAGCTAATGATTTTATTTCATGTTTTCTTCGATCTTGTAACTTTTTCATCACACCAGCTGTTTCTTTGTCTAACAGTACCCGTAACATTTTTATTTGATTAGATTGTGATGTTCGCATTACTTTTTCTAAAGTTGAAAATATAATATCATGGTACTTTTCTTGTAGCATTTTTTCTTGCATAATATGTTCTTTTTCAATAGCTAATAAACGTTCAGACTGACTTCTGGATATTCTATGAATAGATGTACTAGAATTATCAGTGTCACATTCTGATGATTCAGATGCATCATGATGACTTTGCAATATACTTTCTTGTCTAAAAAATTTTTTATCTTTAAAAAAAAAAAATTTCAATTAAAATAATTTAAATAATCAAAAGTTACATGTTTTTAATGGACAGTCTTTTAACAAATCGAGAGCTCATTGAAAACTTAGACATTCGTAATCTATCTGAATCATTCCCAGATTTTAAATTTAGCATTCTATGTTTTTCTTTACTTTGTTTACGTAGAAGATTTTCCATTTTCTTTTCTAATTCCGATTTTTTTTCCTTGACTATTTTATTTTCCATTAATTCAGTCAAGGACTCAACCACAATATTTTCACTCACTGTAAATTAAAATTACAAGTAAATAAATTTCAATTTTATTACAAATAAAGAATTTTAAATTACATGAGGGACACAGAACAACTGGATTCCTTTGTGCTCCTTTAGGTCCAATACTAAAATCATCATTTAGTGAGGTATCAATAGATGTAACTGGACTTGTTATAACCGACTTCCGTTGCATTGGTAATGCAACTGCAGTTTGAGAGACAGGTAACTCAGGACAACTAGATTGATGACGAGTTGCAATTACAGGTTTTACCTCATTTTCAGGTATACTACAATTCATCTTAAATAAAAATTATACAAGAATACATAAATAAATTTTTGCTCATTTAAAAGGTTTTTAAACCTTTAACCAAAAATTAATAAAATAATAAAATGTTCACTTTTGCACGATGGCAACAATATATTTTCTAAAAAATAAATTTTTTTTTACTTAAAAATAAAAAAGAATCCAGCACAGGGGGTCGCGGCACAGTGGTGGTGTGGCATAGTTAGATCAAGTATAATGATATCTGACAGTGAATAGTGATATCTGATAGTGAAGTAAAATCATTATAAAAAAAAAAAACGCTTCGATGCAAATCTTTAGATAGTGTTTAATTTAAAAAAATTGGTGGATTATTCTAAAAGCTACATTATCTGCTATTTCCTTATTAATATCCTGAAGAAGATAAAGTATGTCGAATAAAAAAGGGATATAAATATTATTTTTAATAAAAAAATTGTGTTGATCCATACACTTTTCAATAAGTTATAGCATTAGAAAGTTGAAAATATAAAAAAGAATTTTTTTATTAACTTTGATGTCTGTTTTCACCGTGAAGACAAAATAAAGTCCGAAATTTTTTTTTTTCATAATAAAGTATATTACATTATCTTTAATTTAAGATTAAAAGTGGTAACAGACACAAAAAAAATAAAAATAAAAAAACACATCATAGTAAAACCAATACCTTCTCAGCTTTGCATTGAAGCTAAAAAATTGATTTATTAACCAATTTGAGACAAAATAGCCTAATATTATTTTGCATAAAAGTATGTTACATCCCCTCAAACATTATAGGATCGCTCAGTATTTAGCCTCAAAACTTTCATCATATCTAAAATAGTTAGATTTTTAGTTAAATTGATCACAAACCTAAATAATTATTTCCTCTTTTATTTTTCCTAGACTTAAATTTTTTTAAATTATTATTAAAAATTAAGAATAATATTCGATTACATTATATGAATTTAGTTAACCTAATATTTAGTTTTTGATCTATGTTCTTTAAAGTATGTAGCTGTTAAAAGCTTACTTCAGCATTATCTATAGACTGATCCATGTCGTCAGCAAATACAGCTAATTGTTTTGTACGTTTATCTAAATCTGACTGGAATTTGATAGGATTAGCAAGAGCTTCAGCAAAATCAGATAATCCATCCGGCACATAATCTTTCACAACAATTTTTAAAAACAATGATCCACTTGATAGAGGCTGTCCCATTTCATTCCTTAAGATGACATGTCTATAACCAGGACAAAGCCCAACCACAGGAATTACACGATGACCTATAAACTTCCCTGATTCTTCAAATGCAGCAAGCCTGAGTGAAGCTAATTCAGGAAGTACTACCTATAATTTCATAAAATTAGTCTTTTTTAAACTCTAAATAATCAAGTCAAATACCTTTTTAAAAACAAAAGGTTCATCTCCATAAACTGGATTAATACCATTATAAGGTACAATACGGGTCCGAAATTTTTTTCTGACAGTATCAGCTGGTAAACCATACATTTCAACATCTACATACGTACCAACTCTTTTATCTGTGAGTAATTGTCCAGAAATTACTTCTACAGTAAGAGTTCCAGCTATTATACCATCAACAGTTGATTCAGCAAATGGATCAAAAGTTCTATCAGTACGTCTCATAAATTCAGGTTTTAACAAATAGCCACTACGCATATTATACTCAAATATTCCAAGATTTAATTGCATAGCTATATCCAATGTTTGATAATTCAACGCTACTAATTGACATCCAACATTCCAAAATACTTGTGGCATGAAATTTGAGGAATCAAAACGAGTACCAGCAGGATAAACTCTACTTAATTGTTGTTTATTGTATTTGACAAATTCCATAGGTCGTTCTTTCAATAATGTCATTGCTTGTTTTTCATCAAATGATGACATTTCATAACTACGATTTTTTTCTGTAATAAATTTTCAATTAGTTTCATTAATATTACTTAAGCTATTTAATTTTCAAAATATCTATAATTTATATATAGCTTAATTTCAAAATTGTTTAAAAAAAATTAACAACATAAAAAGTATACTTAAAAATAATTTCCATCAGTTTATTAATTTTTTATTTTTATTCAAACATAAAAATGAGTACAAATAATGTAATTGTATACTATAAAAACGCACTAACTTTCTGCATTTTCAAATGAGGTAAATTGCACTGATTGACAATAGTTGACTAAAACTGATATTTCAGTGCCAGCTTCTGTTTCTTTGGTATTAGATACTTTATCTACAAGAGGTTTACCTTGTAAAACAAGCTTCATATCAACAGTTCTATCTGTATCATCTTCTTCACCATCTGTATCACTACTACTTTCTTCGTCTTCATCTAAAATGTTCAAAAGGAAGTTTTTTTTTTATCTTTTTAAAATACAAAATCAATGTTTTTCTAACCATCTTCTTCTTCCAGAATGGCACTATCTTTACTTAATTGTCTATTTGGTCCCCGTGGAAGTTCTCCATTTCCTAATACCATGGTAGCAGCAGAAGCAGATTCTAACACAACACTTGCTGGAGGTTTTTTATGGTGATGATGGTGTTTTTTTTTATTTTTAATAATAATTTTATTTTTTAGCATAGAAGGTGGAGGTAATGGAACTCCTGATTCAAGCTATAAAAATTTTTTACGAATATAAATTCTTTAATTGAAATGAGTATAAAAATCATATGTTTTTAATAGTAAGAAATTACTTTATGAGAAGTCAGTGGTTCTTGTAGTAACATGTCCCCAAAATATTCGTGGCAATATTGAGCAATTTTAGCCTGTTGCTTAGTATTGCAATGATTTTCAAAAGATAAAATAATTGGATAATCTGATGTTTTAAATGCTGACTCTGCTATAGCTTCTATTACTTCTCGAGCTGATATTTCAGGTACAAATGTGTAACCATGAACTATGACCGGTTCATCTGTTTTGCCATTCCATAAATCTAATTCTACACATCGGCACCCAGAGAGCAAACATTGTCTGTATATTTCAACAGAAGACTTCCCAGTAAGTTGATGTCCTAAAAATCAGTATTATTATTTAAAAAAATGTAAATAATATACCTATTTTTGTTTTCAACTGTTTTACATACCTGTTAGATATGTATTGTGTGAAGAATTGATAAAATAATGTGACAATGGTTGATCCATATCATTGTTCAAATCTAGTGTAGAAGAAGAAACAATAGAATTTTCAGAACCCATTAAATAATTAAGAAAGCCATCAAAACTTAGTAATCCTCGTTGAGCATTTTGTTTATTTGGTTCAAACTCCTTAATCAAATCTTTTGCTCTATCTGAATTAGCATAGGGATGAAGTATTTCATTTAAACGAGGATCTCTCTGGGTATAATTTAGAAAGTTGACAAATTGATCAACACCCAATAGTTTTTTTTTAGTAGAAGAATCTTTATCACTACAGCACCTGAAAAATTACATTTAAAATAAATAAAATTGATTTAAATTTTAAATATTAATTTTATAACACATATATATGTGATATAAAAATAAAAAATTCAAGAAAATTAAATAATAATTAATTATAAGATTACTATATTAACTTATTATTTATTTCTATTTAATATAAAAATTCAAAAAGACCTTCAATCAGAATATAACATTAATGAGTGATAAAACATCAATTTTATAAAGAGATTAAATACAAATAACAAACCTTAAGATAAATTTTTTATTACTTCCTTTATAATTGATATTTTTTCTTCTTAAAAAAAAAATACAAATAATTTGTTTTCATTTTCAGAGACAAATTTCTAAACTAAGAGCTACATATCCAAGACTTGCATCCTACACTATGCTTCATATGTTACTAAAGTTTTAAAAATGAAATTTTAATTAAGGAAAATTAAAGAAAAAAAAATACTTTTGAATAGTAATTTAGTTTTTTTTATTAATTTATCTATTAATTTTGGTCATAACTGGCAATAAATGTAATAATATTTGAAATACACATGTAATTTAATAATTTGATGACTTCACATTTTCATTTTATTACGTCTCAAATTTTTATTATATTTTTCATTTCTTAGATTGTGTGTGAGGCTTTGTATTATTGCATACTTTGTATGTTCCTCACGCCCAATGGCATATTTGAGCAACCAAATTTAAAAATTACCTCTTCAAACTATATTTTAAGGCTGCATATTAAGAATAAATAATTTTTTTTTTACAAAAAATAGGATATTTCTATAAATTAAAATCTGATACACTGAAATTTTTAAAGGCATAAAAATATTATAACTATTAGGCACATATTCACGGGAGAGATTTATGAAGTTCAAAACCCCCCTTCCACCGAATTATTTCTTAGTTACATGATTGCTCCAAAACAGGAAAAATTTAAATACACCTCTGGTGGTATCAGTAATGTTATATACTTACAAATCATCAAATACTTTTGCAACCTCAGTACGTACAGTGAGATTCTTGTAAACATTAAAAAATTCTTCAAACGTAAATTTTGATGGACTTATGACATCATTCTAAATTATAAAAATAATTATTTTATAATGTAGTAATTAATATTAAATATTAATTTAAAATTTTTAAATCACATACTTTATGAAATGGTAACCCTGATAACTCAAGGGCTTTTTCTACTTTTTTTTTGTCATCCTTATTTTGTACAAATGTTCTAGTAATACTAAAAAGTAAAAATAAATAAAATTAAAAATTAAGCAAGAAAAATGCATAATATTATTTCATATTAATTTGATATAATCACTTTTTAATTGGTATTTTGCCATTTTTATCAACCAGTAAATTTAATTTTGTAAATGATTTATACATAAACAACATAGGTGACCAATTCAGTTGTACTAAGTTTAAAGCCAATTTTAAAATATTATCAGTCCAAATCTAAAATGTATATATAATAAATTTTTGTTTTTTTGAATGATTAATTATTATACACAAAAATAAATAAATAAATATCGTAGAATAGAAACAATTAAATTGAGTTGGTTAATATTTTTATACAAATAAATACTTATGTATACTTTACTTGGGCTGTTTGTTTTTTATTGCAGCAAAAATTAATGAAAGATACATTCACAAAGTCATTGGCAATAACTACAGTAATTGTTTTGTCACCTAATGGCTCTTGGGAACCCATACACACTACACTTCTCAATTTAGCATCCTAAATAAATTAAATAATGAAAAATAAAATAAGTAAACAGTCTAAGGTAAATCTAATAGTGTACCATTTTATCTAACAATAGTGGCTAACTTTTATTCAAAGAAATTTTTTAGTGAACCAAGTTAAATTTTTAGCAGCAAAATAAATTTTAACTAGTTATGTAGAGTAATTTACACAAAAATTAAATGAAAATTATTTTTGACATAATTTGACCAATAGAAGTAAATACTATTTTAAAGGGGAGTGAGGGATGATAAGACCTTTTTTTATTATTTTAGTGTCTTTTTTTTAAACTTCAGAGCAGACTAACATAAGTCTAAAAATTATGATTTTCAGGTTATTAATTTTTATGTAAAATAAAATTTTACATAAATATATCAACAGAATTTTGTAACAATGACTCCTTCTATATTTTATCAGAGTTTAAGTCCAAACTTAAGTTTACGCCGAAAAGAAAAATTAATAAATTTTACGCTTTAAATGATATTGCACAAGTCATAGTTAAACAATCAACCTGTACATTTTAAATTAGATTGAATTAAATTTAAGAAATATAAAAATTAAATCTAATTGTTGCTTATTTCAAATAAACTAGATTAATACTATTAATTACAATATTGGTAATATAATAATAAAACTGTAGTAAATCAATTCTTGTAGGGGTATTACCCGAGATCGAATATTATCGATTATACCGATAATAACCATATCGGAAAATCGGTTATCGATTTGAAAGAAAAATCGATATTAGACCCAATATTTCCCACAAAAAAAAAAAAAAAAAAAAAAAAATGAAATATANAAAAAAAAAAAAAAAATAAATGTAATATAATTTATTGATGTTTCAAAAAACGGCCAGCAAAGTTAACCATCTAGGAATGGTTAACCTTTCACCCTCGCAGGGAAAACTTCAGCGACCACCGGTACATTGTGTACAAGTACGGTGACAGCAGTCGTTCCCCACATTTAGAATCCTGTGTACCGTAACACGACGTTCGAAGAGGCTGGCGCTGAAATGGACGTCGACTCATTCGAGACAGGTTTACTCTTTGCTCAGTGGTTGGCGTCTGCTATACCGGATGACGACGGAGTTTCCGAGAGCGAGGCGGCAGGAGAACTCGACAGGAGGGTGGTAGCGGCATGCGATTTCACCTTCCCTTCAAAACGTCCGCCGCCGACTCGGGGACCGCCAGTTCATTGATGGTGCCCGGAGGTACATCCAGGCGAAGTGTTGGGCCGAGCTCGTGAACTCGGTGAACCATGACCCTTGGGGAAATTCTATCGAGTCGTAATGCGGAAATTCCGCAGTCCACCGACCTAGGGACAACTGGAGGCGGTGGAGGAATTTACCGCCCAGGAAGTGGCCGACGTGGTGTTGCGCGTGTGGAGCAGGAACTTTTGTTCCCGGTCCCGACGCAATTTCAAACCGGGTGTGAAGATTGGTAAATAACTTCGCCCCGGATTGGATATACGCGAATCAGTTAAATGCCTACGACAAAGACAACCCCGCCGCCCGATACATGAGAACCTGAGGCGCTGGTTTAGACCGGCGCCTTAGGGAAAGTATTTGTTTTTCTGTTTATATTTATGTGTATTTAAAACTCGACCTTCGCAAAGTCCTGCTCCCACCTCCACGTGATGCAGCACATGCAAAGACCCGACTTTTGGGTCTGGCTAATGGGGAGGTTATGCTGTGCTGTAACTCAGCTTTTGATTAATTTCGGGCTGAGTCACAACACGTCGGTATGAATTTTAAAAAAGGGTGGTAGACCTTACTAGACTTTAATAAATACGCTACTAATTATATATACCATTTATACATTGTATACATTAAAGTACACATAAATTAATACAATTTACTTTAGGAACTTTGGAGTATTTTCCTGTCCTAGTGTCTCGTATAGTAGACATGTCGATCACTTCACAGTCCTTAAAACATACACTGTCATTAATTAAAGAATCGCGTTTTATTAAATAATACTTTTACTTTTTTCTGATCTTGCCAGTACAAAAAAAATCCATGACTATCAACTTTAAGAGTTACTGGTGTTCCAATTCCGCTTTCCTAAAAAAAAAGTATATAAAAGTAAATTACAATTATACTAGAATTCAACAAATTAATTGAAAATATTTATAATATTATATTGGAACAGTAGTCTGATATATATTAGCAATAACAGTCAATTAACATGTATTGAGACCAAATCTCTCCCAACGTTTCAAGATTAATACTTTTCACTTTTCTGAAAAAAATCCTAATTACACTTACACTAATCAAATAATCCATCATAAATTATGACGTTTATTTAATTCAGCATTCATTTATTTTATCTAAAGGGTTCCAAATTTGCACAATTTGTACTTACAGTTAATAAAACAATATCTTAGTCAAATTTTTGGAGAGTGTACTGTACACCACTTTCAAAAATTTGAATACAACAACGCATAAAAATTTAAATAGTTACTTTGAAGTTTCAAAATAATATTTCTGCAATAATTTATGACATTTTAGAAATGTATCGTAATTATATTATAAAAAAAATCATAATGTATACAGTAAATTTTTAACTTTTTTTTTGTTTTACAATAAACCTCAAGTCGAGACTTTCAAAAAAAATAAAACATGTTATTTTTATATACCTGACATTTATATAAATATAACATAATAAATATATAAATATTTGTTTATTTAAATAGTTTTAATTTGGATAAAAAAAAATGTTAAAGTTCAAATTTTATAAGTCTATAAAAAAACTTATGGAAAAAAAATTCAATTATTAAAATACTAGAACAGCTAAACGCCATTTAGTTCGACACAAGTATAGATTGATATCTGTCAGTGATTTTTATCACTATAATGAAACGTTTTGAAACGAATAGGTTTATTTTTATTTGGGATTATTGATATATTAAATAATAAAAGTAATTGGAATGAATTATGAAAAGTTGTGTATTTTCCCTTTATCGACCGATTTGACATAGTACGCTATCCAATAGTTCATTTTTCTTTTTTTAACATATAGTAGGTTTTAAAATCTTTAGTTTAATATACTTAGAATTTTTATTGTATACTAAAAAAAAGGTTACATAAGAAAGACAATTGACCACAATATAACTGATTAAAATTTTGATATGATCTATTTTGTCTAAAAAGTTATGATAGTTTAAAATTGCGAAAAAAAAATCACAATCTGCTGTTTTTAATAAAACTAAATTATTAAGATATTTTCTTTGATAAAATAATTCAGGATAATTTTTTAAATTTTCGAAGTCTATATCTTCAGCTAGATGAGCTCAGGTTCTTTTATTAGCAATATTGACTAATGTGTGAGAATTTTTACATAAACAAAAATAACAATGCATCATTTTATGATTAATGCCTTTTCAGATTCGAATGAAAACTAAACATTTTTATTTCGTATATTTAGCTGCCTAATTTTTGTATTCAGATCCCTTTTAAATATATATTTTTTTATATAAATTAAAATAATACTGGACATTCTTACTTTTCAATATTTTTATTGATGGGCAATACACTATTGCTTTTTTAACAAATGTCGTATAACTGGCAAAATACTATAGATAAGTGTACTTATAATTTTTGTCATAATAATTATAGAGATATTTTACAAATGACATAATATTATTAAGTTTTTTTTTTTATTAATATGTTTTCCAATTTTGATTTTTAATACTAATTTAGTGAACCTTATAGGGTATCCGAAAAAAAGTTTAACTTAGAACTTAAACATTTTAAAACTTAAAATCAAACATTCTAGAAAAACAATAGTGATGACTATATATAAATTTATCTGTGTATAATATATAAAAGGTTTCATTAATTAACACTGATAAAATAACACATTTTGTATCATTATATCTTGAGTATATATATTAGTAACTTCCTTAAAAATTTCTTACTAGTTATTACAGTACGAATTCAATTAAGATATAATAAAACAGTATAATTTAATTTTTGAAAAATACATTAAATTAGTTAAAATAAAATCTTAGAATAAAGCTTGAGACGTATATATAAAAATATTTCATATAAAAGTAAAAATATAGCATCTAATAAATGATCAGAAAAATAGTATCATAAAAATTATAATTAATATTTATTGAACAAAATAATTTAAAATATTATAATATCTTTATAATTGTTACATACTTAATATTATCGAAATGTAATTAACTAATACATGGATGCATATTTATCGTACAACCTATTCACATTTAAACATGAATGATACATTATAATCTAAATAGGTACGCTGTATGTACTAAACAATTATAACACATTCGATATCTATGTCACAAAGATCAAATGATATCACAACAACACATTTTTAATATTTAATCACAATAATTAACTCATGTTTTAAAAAGGTTTTATGCATATGTACAATATGTACAACTCTATACACTTGAAAACATTTATAACAATATGTTTAGCATCAGATTCGAATTAGTCACTCGCAAGTTCTGATAATATTAGTTTATATATTATAATTTCTTAAAAAAAAATCCAACAAATATAAATTACAATAATTGAATATATTATATAATACTGAAATAAAATATTCTACACGATTTGGCACTGTCCACAAAGGAGATAAACAAATTTACAAAAAAAAAAAAATAATTACTCATTTTAAGTATTGTCACCCATCCGTACACTACACGGCGGCAGACGTTTTGTCAACATCTAGTGTATCCGCTGAGCTATACCACGCCAAATTGTTATGCATTACCAAACTTCATTTCTATTTCTTTTTCCTCGCCTTAATTCCAACTACTTGGGAGTCGGTCACCCTTATCCTAAACTACCACTTGACACGATCTCCAACATCATCTACGCTCACATCAGCTGTCTTCATATCGCATTCAATAGCATCCCTCTATCTCTTTTTTGGTCTTCCTCTACCTCTTCTTCCTTCAACATTCATTTCTATATCTGTTCTTACAGCTTCCGATTCTTCTCTCCTCATAACATGACCAAACCATCTAAGTATATTTTCTCTCATCTTATCCACAATTGACCCTACACCTATACTCCATCTTATATGTTAGTTCCTTATACTATCTTTTCTATCCCTCTATTAATCCATTTAAGCATTCTCATCTCTGCTACACTCATTCTCTGCTCTACTTTCTTGTCGACCGCCCAATACGCTGAACCATACATCATAGCTGGTCTCAATACAGTCTTATAGAACTAACCTTTGAGTCTCATTGGAATTCTTTATCGCGTAACACAACAGACGTTTCTCTCCATTTCAACCACCCGTACTTAATCATGTGTCTTACATCCTCGTCAATACCACCGTTCTTTTGCACAACTGATCCTAAATACTTAAAACTTTCCACCTCTCCTATTACGTCCTCGCTTATTGTCTCTGATTTCTTCATTTCACCATTTTAACCAAACTTCATTTGCTAATGCTTATTATTTAATAAAATGAATAAAATACCTCATATTAAATTTCATTTCTAGAAAATATATTAATTACTCTTTAATTTAACACAATGATAACAACAAGTAGAATTAAAATATAGTAACTCTTTAATATTTTTTACTCTAAAACAATTTCACAAAGAGTCTGCGAAGCAAAACCAACTTTATTGATAGCATTCAGAGGTGATTAAACACTTAATGAGTATTTGAAGTATCGTTTTGTTAATATATCAGAAATGCAATAGATTAGTATAAATTCAATTATTTTAACTTGATATATAACTGAATAACAGAAATTAACTGTTAGTACTACTTATATTGTGTCATAATCCAATAAAAAATCTAGAATAAGCTAATATAGCATAACTATACACACATTTACATAATAATATGTGTACATACACGCATTTAATTTCTTAAACAAAAATAATTAAATACATGTTTAATACTTTTTCTGGTGGCAAAGGTCTTAAAGCAGTTTAATGAAGTCTGATATTCAGATTTAATTTGATTATTAAAAATTTAATATCATAAATACTTGCATAATTTATGGTATAATAAAGTTTAATATGTTAACAAAATTACATTTTGACACTTAAAAAAACATAACAAAATTGTTTAAAATGTCTAATATTAATATATATTATAATATAAATGTTATGCCAGATGAAATTTAGTAATTTAAGCATACAAGAGAGTTTGTTACAGTAGATACTATATGATTAAAATACTTTAGTAGATTAATTAATGGCATTGAAATTTAGTAATTTAAAAATTTACACATACCAACATATACAAAATTGCAAGCCAAAAATAAATGTCTAGTAGTTTGTGAAACAAAAGAAAAAGGAAAAATGTTGAGTAACGAGAACAAATATAAAAACATATTCTATTAGTTTAGATAAATCATAAAGAAAAAATTTTACTATGAATTTTAATATAAAATTAAAATATAATATAATGAGTAGATTTGTTGATATTTATGTTATGTCAGATGTTATATCCACAAATTCATAAGAAAGTTTTACTTTACATATTACTGTATTTATTTGAATATAGGTTTTTTAATTTACTCAACAAAGGGCGTGTTAAATGTTTACATGAAGATAGATGCAGCCATGAGTAGTATTTCATACATTAAGTTAATAGAACAATTTGTTCCTAAATTTGTTTCGTTTTTAACAAAAACTGTTACAATATACAAACCATTATTGTTTCGTAAAATTTTCAGCGATTTAAAATTAAGAATAATACGATTTATTTACACTTGTATTATATACTTATTCAAAACAACAATGATGAGGTTTTTCGTAGAAAGTTCTCTTAAGTTATAATTAACTGTTCAAAAAGAAAATTTAAACCATCATTTAAAAATGAATGATGAGCACTATTCAATGACATGTAATTCCTGGTTATATTCAGTGAATTACAAAAAATGGTGTGATACTCTTGTGTTATTAAGTTGATGTTGTGCAACTATTGTTCTCACTTTGCATAAGTGTGGAAACTTCCTAAAAAATCCGGTTTTAATCGAAGGACAGTTGTGAGCAGCCAAGCCTTCCAACCGTCAATATAATATTTAAATTTAACAAAAAAGAATTAAACGTCAAAATTTTTTGATTTTTTTATTCAATTAATACTAATGTATTACACAATTTTTAACTTTTTTTAAAGTCTATAAAACATAAGACATTTTTGTTAGTAACTGAATAGAAAATAATTAATATTAGTAATTTGACGTCATTAAATTGTTGAGCTATTTATACATAACAAATTATTAAATAAAAATTTTAAAATTATATGTTACACATGATATTATGAATTCTTGATATACTATGGACTATACTAATTGTGAACAAAGTTAAAAAAGTTAGGTATACAGAACTCCCTATTAGCATGATTTTCTTATTATTTGTCTATTCGTACTCAACAAGTTCTGTTAAGGGGTACTTTATAATCCTTTTTAGTATCATCTGAGACGTGTCTAGGCGATCATTTACTACCTATATTATTTTCGTTATTTATTAATGACGAAAATTTAGTCATGAAATATTGTAAATTTCTCTCATTTTATGACAATGTAAAACTTTATACAAGCATAAGTTCATATGATGATTGTCATATAATTAAGATGATTTTATTAACTGGTGTAAAATTATGGTTAAGATATAAACTCAGAAAAATATTTTAAAATTTCATTATTTCATTGTCGTTTTAAATCCGACTATTATTATATGAATAATTATAAATCGATTTAAGATTTAAGGTCAATCGAAGATTTAGGGATAATTTTATTAACTGATACATCAGTTTTCAGAGCACAATTACTTTTATAGCAAATATTTTTTATAACTATAAAAAAATTAGAGTATATAAGCATCATTGTTGGGAATTCAATTAATATATTATGTTTAAAATCTTTATGTTGCTCATTAGTCAGATAATTATTAAATATGACTCAATAATATAGAACCCAAATCAAAAATATTTAATTAATAAAATAAAATTAATTTAAAATAAATTATTTAAATTTATATCTATATTATGTGATTGTAAACAATCATTTTTTTATTTACCTCATAACATTAATTTATTGCTTTTAATTGCTGTTCAATGACGTTTTATTTATCTATGAATTATTAAATGAATTAATTTATCGTCCCAAATTAATTTCCATAATTTACTTAACGGTTCCAGCACTTAATTAATGTCTAAAACAGTCCTTCTTAATACAATTTCATACAGTAATATTTAGTTGTAATAACCCAATAGATCGGATGCTAACTAAATATAATAAAATAAACAATTCTGAATTTTACTATGATGTGTTATTTTTTTTTTTTGTGTGTGTTACCACTTTTTCTCAGCTCTCACCGAACGGATTTCTTTCAACGATACGTCAAAAGATCACAAATCGTATCTAGTCAAAGATATTACCCTTAAAAATTGAAAAAAATTCCCTCGTTCCCCGTAAATGGGGGAAACCTCCAAAAAAATTACAAATTTAAAAATCGCTAATTTTCGAAATTTTTTCAATTTTTTTTACTAAAAACTACCGTAACTTTTTCAAAAATGAACATATCAATATAATTTTTTTTTTTTTATAGATGCTTGGTGTCATTACCTATCATTTGGAATTTTTTTTTTGTAAATTTGACCCTTTATCTGCCCACAGGGGGGGTTTTAAAATGACAACTTTTTCACAAAAAATTAACTTTTTCAACTTAACTTTTGAAAATGTTCCGGAAGGTCTGACACTTTTATATATATCTTAAATTAAAGCTAATGTAATGTACTCATGGTGAAAACGGCTACCGAATGCTATTTTTGCGTGAAAATTCTCGATTTTATAATTTACATTTTTTACTTTAAAGTGCTATAACTTTTTGAAAAATATATGGATCAATACAATTTTTTCATGAGAAGTAGTATTTATATACATCTTTCATTGGATATACTTTTTTTTTAAATCAGACTATTTCNATTTTTAATAATTTCTTTTTCATTTGTCATACTATATCTTAATCAGGATATTAATAAGGAACTAGCAGATCATGTAGCTTTTGAAATAATACACCATTTTTTTAAAATTAAACACTATCTAAAGATTTGCATCGAAGCGTTTATTTTTGATAGTGATTTTAATCACTGTCAGATATCATTATACTTGATCCAACTATGCCACGTCACCACTGTGCCGCGACTCCCCTGTGCTGGGTTTTTTATAATGATGTTGAATTATGTGTATTATCAAGTTTTAAATCATGAATTAATTGTTTAATATATTTAATTTTGTTTCGTGTTTCTTAAGTATTCCTTTACTGTATTTACTGTACATTAGTCTAGTTCAAAAAAATTTCATGCTTTCAGAGACGTTATTATTCAATAAATAAGTGACCAAATAATAAATTTTATTTTAAATCGATTGTGAATCAACAATCAAAATAAAAGGAACATTTATAAATAACAGGTGTTTCTCTAAATTAAGTGATGTATGTAAGGATTTGCATATCGATTTTCTACTTGACAATCAAAATTGATTTAATGAAGATTCAATTTATTCATTTGAGTGAAGTAAATATTTTTTTGCGAAAGAACATAATTCAAATATTGCCTTTGTCAAGGATTTTATAAACAAGAAGGCGTAATTTTTGTTTTGTATAAACTCAATTATTTCATAGATTTATAATAAAAACTTGAGAATTTAGGTTTCTAAATAATGATATAATACTTTGTTACTAAGCAAAAATTTAATTCCCGTACATTTTTTAACACGTTTTTAAACTTACATTGGAAATAATACTATAATCTACTACTGTCATTGAAATAGTAATACCTATTTCTCTATTTACCTATTTTTCTCATTTAAAAGTAGGTATGTAAATAATTTTCATTACAAGTTAAAATCTGTAATATTATTTTTTTAATAATTTGAAATCCATTGTTATGTTTGATTGAATTTTAAATAAATGACATTGAGAGAGTTTATAACATACTCTGATTGTTGGTTAAAACAAAAATATGTACTGTAAACCGTAATTTTATTGTTTTATTACAATTTTATGTAAACAATGATTTTTTATCATACTAAAACTAATTTTAAATTAAAGAAAAAACTTAAAATATTGAAACCAAAAAGATTAATTATACATAAGTCGTAATCATATTTCATTTTCAAAACTGAAAATGTTCATGAAATTAAGAAGATAAGGAACCGATGCTCAAAATATCAATAGAAGTCAATCTTTAACCACACCTTAATTATTATTTTAATATACCCAGTAACAGTAAAAACATAAAAATGAATAATATTCTAAGAGTGATATTTTACAAGAATTATAATTAAACAGAATTACTTTATAGATTATGCTCTGAATTTACATATCTAGCGTAAAGTTTAAACAATAAATCCTATTCAGTTTATCATTTATTTATTTATAATTAAGGAAAAAGTTGAGATTAGTGTGTAATTAAACATTATGATATTACAATATAACAATGTATTCATCATTCAATAATAAAATCGGCATAGGTTTTTTATAATACGTTTATTACTTTTTTGCATTTTTTGAAACTATACCTGTAGTATTCATATCATGTTTTACTAATTGCAATATCTTTTATATTTAAATGCTAATAACATTAAAAATAATGTACCTTTTATTTTTAATCGTTAAGATTTTGAATAATAATACAAGGTATTTGGAAAACATAATTAACTAATTGTTTTCAAGGTTCTATAATTAATATAAACAAGACTTCTTAATTGCTACGCTCATACTTCATTTTCATCAGTCAAAATATAAATAATGATAGTAAAAACGTACTTAATTGAAATTCTTCTAAATTTTGAAAACAGTAGAAATTTTTTTGTCATAAATACCAAAAATACTTGAAAATTGATCCATTTTATTTGTATACAGTATTTAATGTTAATTTAAATTTAATAATTTACAATAAATTAAAAATGTCAAAGATTGGAAATTTTTTTTTCAAATGGTTAAATTTTGTAACAAAAAATTTGAATAAATAACACAAAGCGCATAATTTTTTTTATCCAAGTTAATTAAATTATAAAGTAATGAAACTATTTTTATTATAATATTTCATTGATTATTTTAAAAATTGTATTAGCATTATAGAATATATTTATACTGAACTTGAAAACTGAAAAAAAATATTCATTCTTCTCATTAGTTTAAATGTAATAAGTTATGGCATAATGTGATGCATATCATTTTTGAAATTTTGAACAAATTAAATAGTTATGCTAGGAAAAAAGTGATTTGTATAGTATTCAACTAATGTATTTTTTAATACGATCTATACGAATCATTATGAAATATTAATGTTTAATTGACAATTTCGATATATAAAAAATAAACTACTATTTTTAACTTAAGTATTAATTATTTTTTAGTAAGAATATGATAATAGTAACTCACTTCATCCCATTTTATGACTTTTTCTCCTTCTACAAGTTCTGGCGGAACAATTAAAGGAACCATCCTGAATGATAATAACTTCTTTTAACTAGTTCGTTTTGTTGGTAATTTCATTCACATCAATAAACTGGTTCAAACCGGTCGTTTTATCGACATCTCCCACGTTGATTCTATCACAGCATATTCGATAAGGTTTATATTATTTTATTATGACCATTCCAGGTGAACATTAGTAGTTTACATAAAAACGGTATGACTCGAAATTTACTGAATAATAAACATACACACACTATGAAACAATTGTATTTTTCAAAATAATTGATAACTTATTAACATTCATTTGCACCTGATAACGGAACGAACTCATCGTTTACTATCACTCGATCGAACAACAACCGCTAACAACAGTAAACGGACCACTAATCGTGACTCGTGCTGCGCTGAGCTCACTGCCAAGCGTAATTTAACAGTCGAGTGTTAGTAGTGGGGTGTGAGCTACGTGTCCATGTTAACTGCTGTTACAGACTATAGCGCTGTGTAGTAGCTGTACTGTTGTAGACAGACACCGAGTGCGCTGCTTCACATCCAGCCGGATGCTGGAGAATAGAGTTATGACACTAACGCGTGGTTATGTATTACTACCTACGTTTCTCTGTTTTAATTAAACTTGTTTTATACAGCATGTTATATTTAAAAGTAGTTACTTGAAAATAATCATTTAAAAAAATTGTTAACTTATACAATTTTGAAAAAGATTCTTTAAAAAATAAATTTTCTAAGAAGGATGTAATTTTATTGTTAAAAAAAATTGGTTAAACTTTATATGAAATTTGATAAATTATGCTTAAAACATAAAAATAAAAAAATTATTTTTTACTTGCTACAAAAAAACATTTTTTTTTAATAAATTTATAAATTCAATAAATAAATATATATATATATATATATTAGAGTGTTCTCTATTTTGGCTATTTTTGAAAAATCTTGCTCCTAAGACTTTTTGATATTTTGTTTTAAAAATTATCAAGAATATATGATATTTGTGTCAAACAACGTTCAATTTCGTTAACTTTAGTAGGGTATTTGAAATTTTGTTTAAATAGTAATTTGTACATCAATGAGATTAAAATTCATTGAAATGTCATCAACTTCACGTAAAATTCAAGTTTTTTTACCTTAAATTTATGCAAATTAGTATTATATCATATAGCAACATATTTATATGTTTCTTGTATAATAAACACTGAACGAGTTAATAAGATAATTATACAGAAAAAAGGATTGCTTTTAACATCAATTAACGTAATAACAAAATTACACAAAAACATTAAATAAAAAAAGAACGGTAGCACAGTATAAACGTGGGATAGTTGGGACAAGTATAGATGATATCTGACAGTGATTAAAATCATTATAATAAAGAACGCTTCAATGCAAATTTGTAAATAGAGTTTAATCTTAAGAAATTGGTAAATGCTTAAAAAAGCAACATCAATTCTTATTTCCTCAATTATATCCTGTTTTATAGTTCTTTGATTTAAAAGTATAATATATAAATAAATATTTATTATAACAATTAAATATAGTATGAAATCGATATTTAATAATTTTAAATTGTATATTTATGTTAAGAATTTGAAAAATTATATAGTAATATATTTTATTACTTCTATGACAGACATGTATAAAAATTAAAGTACTTGATGCAATACTTAGTAAAAAAAAAAATTGTTTTTTTCTTATGAATATATACATTGGTATATAAGGAACTTTCATTAGAAACAAAAATATACTTTTCTAAATCAACTTTCCGCAATGCTTTTTATATTTGAAATCATACTTTTTCCATAACTTCCAAGTTTTTATATTATTACTAATTATTAAAAATGAGTATTTAAATATGAAAAAAAATTATGTTGATTTGTTCATTTTTCAAAAAGTTATAGCAGTTATAAGAAAAAAAGTTTTAAAAATGTCGGAATTTACCGATATTAGAAATTGTAATTTTTTGGGGAATTCCCTCATTTACAATGAACGAAAGAAATTTTTTTCAATTTTTAAAGGAAATGTCTCTAACTTAGATACGATTTCTGATCTTTTGACATATTGTTCATCTAAATCGGTCCAGTGAAAGAGTGGCAACAGACATAAAAAAAAACACATCATAGTAAAATTAATACTTTCTCAGCTTCGCATCGAAGCTAAAAATGAGTTTTATTAAATATTTTACTGGATACACATTATTAATTGTTAAGAGTAATGTTTTTTCATTTTTTAAAAACGACTTGTAAGTAGATTCCAGATTTATATGCAATTATAAATTTTATTAGACCCAATAAAAGTTTGTGCAATCTTGTTGTTTTAGCATTTAATAGCGTAAATATATTTTTCATTTTAGAGGGGAATAAACCCTTTTAATACCCCCTAACTTAATAACCCCAGTTAGTTCACATTACTAAGAATTTAAGCCTATTAATACAATTTTATACTGGCGGATGGATTATTTAACAAAATTTATAAATGTATATAAATCCAGACCCTACTTATAATCTAATTAGTATTCAGTAGTGATGAGCAGTACATAATTGTTTTCATTACCGGGTATATCAGATAGTTTTAAAAAAATTATCGAATTTGATTATTATTATCCATGACAAATAAAATTTATTTATGGCAACAAATAAAATAAAAATATTATAATAGAGGTTTATGTGTTCATCCAATCTATTTTTCATAAATTATCTACGTCTTTGTGCTAACTTAAAGTGTCATAGATGTACACAGCCGTCCTAGAAGAGAAAGACGTAAACAACAAATAATGGAAAATTATTTTATTGTATTAAAATATTGAGAATTTAATGGCGCCGCTTTAGAGCAGGCAAATTTGCCTTATCCACCATAAAAACAGTATTATTAAGGAATTAATTTATACGTATTTTATTAAAATAGACCTAATAATTAAAAAAATCCATTTAACACATGTATTTAATAAAAAGGTAGTAACTTCACACAAATACGATCATTTTGCTTAGTACAACTGAATATACATCTTTGTTTAGTTGAGTTGGGTTTTTGAAGCAATTAATACAAAATTATCATATATTAATTCTTTGATAAAAAATATTGATGATCCTCTAGTATTTTGTTAGTAACAAACAATATCAAACGGTGCAATGGTAACACCTGCACTCTCCTCCGGGCAACACAATTCAGATATCATCAATACTTGATCAAACTAAGTGGTGTACCCTACTGTGCTTAGTTTTTTTAAATTTTTTACTTGTGTTACCATTTTTTTGCTCATTAATTTGAACAAAATTGAACCTCTCTCCGTTGAAAATTTATACCTAAGCTCTTTCTACATTCAAATTGGAAGAAACTAATAATTTGTATATTAATTACACTTGGAATCTGTTTTTTTCCTGTGTTCTAAACTTTTTTCTTTTTAATCAAATAAAAATTAAATAATCTCATGATAGTAAAACTAATACTTTCTCAGCTTCGCATCGAAGCTAATATTATACTATAGCTCAGTGGCGTATGTAGAGGGGGGCATAGGGGCACGTTGACTGAGTCATGTAAATATTTTATCAAGCAATGTATAATATCATTCGAAAAAGTTAATTTTTGGTTATGGATAATAATGAAATTTTAGTCAATATAGTGGAGCAAAATTTGACGCTCTCAAAATTGTCCCGTTAATGTTATTACCTAATTTTGCAGTGTTTATTACGTAGAGATACATACTGTATAAAAAGAAATGTTTTTATTAATAAAAATGGATTAAAAACAGATTTTTTTTCAAAGAAATGTAAATTATGTATTTAGTATGTGTTAAAAAAGTTTTAAGCAAAAAAAAATGTCGTTTTCTGATACTTTATTCATGACATTTTTTGTTCCCCTCCCCCCATTATAAATTTCTAAATACGCCACTGCTATAGCTGAGTGAAGGTACTAATAAGTAACTTTTAAGTAGCTTAAGAATTCCAAATTAAATCTTTGTAGTCTAAAATATATTTATAAATATAAAAAAGAGTATGACTCTTTGTTTAGTATACAATTTGTTTTAAATTGATTATAAGTATATTTAAGATTGATAATAAGTTTTAGAGCATACTATATGTATAAGTACTAAAGATACAGTAGAATATTATGAAATATATTTACTTTAAAATTACTTAGGTCAAATTCATTCATCATTGTTCATCGATCACTTGCTATCTCTGATGTAATATATAAGTGAACATATTAATTAGAACTTTCATACTTTTTCACATTATATAAATTGTTCATAAGTACACGAGTGAAAGAAAAATGATCGATTGAAAGGGTTGTTTATATAAATAATTATTTTTAATAAACAATATGAGATAATAATACAGAATAGTGATGCAATGAGCAAAGTTTAACTCAATAGAGTTTAAAAACAAAAACATTATTTTATAAATTGGTCTGAGCTTAAAATTAATTTAATGTCAGATGAACTCCATAGGGATATAATGCTAAATAAATAAGGATGCTAGAAATAAAACTTCAGTATCATCTGTCCCAATGGATCATAGAGTACAGTAACAACTCAACAATAAAAAATCGTGCTGTATATTTTTATTGTTAAAAAACAATATTTAATCACTTTCACGACACGTGGAAAATTGCGGAAAAAATTAATTTGACCACAAAATATTAAATAAAGTTTTAATTTACACCTTAAATTTGTCTATATTTTCCTTACAAAAATGTTCATAAATTTAAAGATATATCTTTATACTAGGAAAATAGGACTTCTATTTCTTTTTTTAAAAAGGCTGTTAAAAGTTTAAAAATACATACAAATATAAGGAATTACTAATTTATTTTGTTAATTACTTGAAAATAATTAACCTAAAAATCATACTACTGGGTTAAAATATACAATAAAAACCAATATTTATTTTTAATATTCAAAAAAAAATTTAAATAAGTTTATTTAACAAAAAGTTAGAATATTAAAATAAAAAATAGAATATTCTTCAACTAAAGATTCTTTAGAAAATTTTAATTTTTTGAAAGCATAGAAAAGAATCAACTTTGTGGCGTTGTGTGACGCAATCGACCATAAGTCGCCTCCTTAGCGCTGATTTTCAGCTGCGCTGTTGTTTCCTGGATGGGTGACCATCGAAAAATTTAACAACAACACATACCTTGCCTCTATACTGGTTCCCTCAGCTATATTGATATTGCGTCAAGTTAACAGCTGGTGTAAAATTCTATCAAATCATTAAGATAGAATCAACCCCAAACAGTTAAGATAGAGGCTATGGTGATGACAATAGAAAAAATTATTATCTTTCTTTTTGCAGTTGTTATGCAATTGTTTCAAAGGGAAAAATTTATCATTGACTTATTGAACTATTTAGAAAAAAAAGAGCGTATATTATATTACTACGCATTATACGTATAGTATATTACTACTATTATTATCGAAAA